CCCTTTGTCCAGGGTTGTTCTCTGCCTCATGCCAGTTGCTTCCAGGATAGGCTCCAGACCCCCACGCAACCCAGTAGGATAAGCGGGTTGGACAATGGATGGATGGATAAGTCCACTCAGCCCTATAACAAAGCATGATATCACACTGTTATCAATCTGTTCTAATGCAATTGATATTGGTATCCAAGTCCAGTACAATGCAGAATCACATTTGTATTTGGGCAATTTTCAGTTGGAGAGAAAAGCATTACGCAAACTACAATGCAATATGGTCTTAGTGAGGAACACTACTTGCCCACAAAAACAGCTATCCAAGTGAACGATAGTTATGGCCAATTTGTGAAAAAAATCATTCTTTTGAACCGGGTTCTCTTCAGTGAATTGGTTTTCAAATCTAAAGGAAACAAACTTTTTATACATCCACGCATTGAAGAGGTCAAAGTCTTACATTCTAAAAATCAAAAAATATTTGACAAATGATTATATAAAAAGATGTTTTTAATTAATTTACATTTGCTTTTCATAGAATGTCTGCAGCCATGTTGCCTTCAGCAGCCCCCGCATACCGTAATCTGTTGTATTTCTGCTGTGTGCATGCCCGGCCGCATGGTGGCTGCAGCTTGCTACTCTGTGTTCCAAATAGGGCTCAAAGCATGCCACAACTTAGACTAAGAGCACCATCTAGAGGGGTCAGAAAAAACAGCAAATGGTTCATAAAGCAGCGTTTTGACCATCACTACTCCCAACTCTGGGCAATCAACAAGTTAGTGAGTTCGGCAAGTTAGGTTGAAGCGGTCACTACACAATTCTCATGAGACTCACAAGACCCATAGGAGATGTTTATGATATTATTTAGTACTAGGGTGACCACCTAATCCATGTCAGGAGGGACACTATGAGCTACTTCAGCTTTTACGAACTACTTTAAAGCTGAAAGGATTCTGTGCTCTGCTAAAATGTTTGGTTAGTTCCTAGATTGAAAGACTCATCCAGCTGTTTCGCATTAACATTACTGACACATATGCATGATTATAGGAGACTGACCAATCAGCATACGGCAAGAACCCAGTGCTTAAGTGAAATCCTGGTCCTTTTAATTGAAATGTATGAAATGGTAGTTTACAAATCCTGTTGTAGCTCATAGTGTCCCTCCTGACATGGATTAGGTGGTCACCCTATTTAGTACTGCATTATTATTTATTTAAATGCATATAATTACATTATTGACCACTATTACCACTGTTTTTATTATTTAATTCATTTAGTTTGGCATGTGCATTGCCGTAACCACGTTTTTCCGATGTGGATATGTGTATTTTAGTGAACATGAGGTTTTTCAGGAACGCATTGTTGTTGCAGGACTGACTGTAAATGTTTATTATTTAATGTGATTTATTGCTTACACAATTTAAAAATATTTTATGAATTGTAACAATAATTTATTCTTCAATTTGTCCAACAGGAGTGTGGAACCAGAACTTAAATCACTGTCTACAGGAATTCTCATGTTGGTTCTGAGAGTGTTGGGTAAGTGGTTAGGTACTGACAATTAGTGTTTGGTGGTACACACACAGGAATTAAGGGAAATGAGGAGGCATTGATTTATACAGGTACACTGTGTATGGAGGTTGATGTCATATACAGGCACTGTGTAGATCATAGGGGATTTATTACTGTACCATTACAAGTACTGGGCTGTGCTTCATGTGTAGAGGTGTTATACAGGTATTCATTCCGTTTGCAGGTGGAATACCTGCACCAATCTACTTTGGGGCCCTGATTGACTCCACATGCCTGAAGTGGGGAAGTAGAAAGTGTGGTGGGCGTGGTTCCTGTCGGGTGTACAACATCCAAACCTTCAGGTGAAATGGCAGGGTGGTCCAGAAGTCCAGCTGTGTCGACACAAGAGTTTGATTTGTACCCTGTTTTGGAGATTGGGGTCTTTGCCCCAGTGCATTAGTGTTATGCCTCACTGAGAATTTTACAAGTAAGATGGCATGGATCAGGGGACAGAGTAGGTACTATGTGTGAAGCTGTATGAAGATTAACATCAGATCCTGCTGCCAGCTGATGCAGCTCATCCAGTTTTTTGTTCCCTGGATCAGGTTCCTCTTCCTGGGGATGATCAGCTGCCTGAGAATGTGTGGCTATGTGCTGCTGTGGGTGACCATCATTCAGATGAAGAAGAAAGCTGAGCGACAGAAGCACAAGTGTCCTGCTGAGGACGAGGAGCTAGAACTGAAGCGTAAGCTGAACGCTCAAACCAACCTAAATACAGAGGACGACATTCAGCATTCTGAGTCTCTAGCATAAGAAAGACTCAGAAATGAAGGAGACCCACGGGAAAAAGGCTTTTTGGAACAACTAAGCCTTACTGGGACAGATAGTCCTAACTGGGAAGATACACAAGTGTGAGCAACATACCTTGTTAAAGCAAATGATAAGCTTACACCTACTGGCTGACACACACACACACACACACACACACAAACTACAACCATTTCAATGAAAAACTTGCACCTCAGCCGCAAAACAGATAGATATGGCACTGCCATTGAGGAAATCTCTGGTCAAATGAATGAATATGAATGTTTCATCAAGAATGTTTCATTATGGACAAAACAGGGTGAGTATACAGCTTTAAGAAAACATGATATGCTATTTGGGAAGGTCATGCACATATTGTTTTTATTCAATAATATATATACAGTATGTGTGTATTACTAAAATAAACATTTGAGAAATGAAGATGCATTTTGGTACAATGGTAAACTCGTCCATGATTGTCATTCAAATAAAAAAAAAAAAACACATTAGATTAAAATCTAGAATGATAAAAAGGGAGGTTAAAATAATACAATCAGCACCTATCTTCAAAATTCACATGACTGATTCTTCTGCTAAAAACTGAATAGAATAGAGAAACTGAAAACTACTTTAGATATTTTGAGTATTTAATTTTGGAATTTAGTAGAGAGCATTTGTACATTTACATGATGGGCAGGACCAAAGGCAGTGGATGCTCTGGGAGAGGTGTGATTATGCTGGGCACGCTTGCCGCTGGGGACAATTATCCCAGACATGCCTACTGTTGTTTTGCTTGTCATTAGTAGACTGTAGTGTATATCTGTGTCTAGGTGTGGTGTAAGGACTGTTCAAACCAGGTATTACCAGACCAGCTGAAAAGTACATGGGTAGACCAGGTAAGAGTGGAAATATTTCAGTCATACATTATTATGTCCGTAGTAAAATCACTTACCCATCAGTCTTGCTGTACACAGTATGCTTATTGGACATGTGTTGGCTTGGTCTTCAGTAGGCACAACTTTGATGCCGAAACACCTGGCTTTTCAATTCAAGATATGTCTGCACACACATGCACAAGCATTTACCCCAGCGCTTTAGATATAGCTAATTTTAGGTTTATAATGGAATAATATAGATTTGCTGTAAGATCTCTTGTGTGAGGGTGAGATTCTGAAAGCGTGTCACACCAGATGTGTGAGAGTAAGTAACCTTGCTCTAAGATAACTTGAAAATCAATGTCCACCGAGTTTATGGGCGTGAGCCATCATCTCAGGAAGCACAGGGTGGGTCCACTGCAAAGAACCAGCAGGATCAACCCTCAAATTCTGCTTGAAAAACTGGAAGAATGACTGGAAGCTTTGGCGGGCAGCCATGTCAAACACAAAACATACAGTGCTTCCGTGTGTCTACAAAAACTGAGGATGTGACTACCCACTCTGTTGTAGATGATAATTCTGTCTTACTCTCCCTAGTAAATATTTGCCTGGAAATGGACAATAGGGCAAAAAACTGTGAATTTTCACTGGAGGAAATAATTGGCATTGATCAATCTTGCCAGTTCAATTAATAATTTATCAATTAATTTAACAAGTGCAAAATCTGCAATATATTTCCATAATGCAAAAAATATAAGATGTATACAAAATTTGCAGATATTCAGTGATGCCAAAGGCATTTGAAATAAACATTTAACAACCTCCCAACTCTGACCAGGAAAAGCCGTTGGAAGATTGATGGAAATAGCTAACATTATCCCACCACTCGATGGCAGCAAAACAAAGGTTGTCTGTGTTTATTTTCAAGTGAAATGTTGCCAGAATCTATGACCAGTTTAGTTTTGGGTAGGAGTGCTGCAGCATGGGTGGTTTGGTGGGTAGATCTGCTGCAGCACCATCTCCAGGGCTGGGGCTTTGAGTCTCACCTCTCGTGTGTGTGTGTGTGTGTGTGTGTGTGTGTGTAGTTTTCACGTTCTCCTTGTTTCATATGGATTTCTTACCTCACTCCAAAGACATGCAGTACATCAAACAGGTATCTGCCCCTAATTTTTCATGCTTGTGTGTGAGCTCTGATGGTCTGGCATCTCGTTATGTTGTGAACTATGTTGCCTGGAATAGCATTCTGGTCAGCCATGTTTGCAGCCCCCTAGTGGTGAGCATGTAGGTTAGCATTACAAGAACCACATTCAAACAGCTATTAAAACTGAATTGCTTACCAAAGACATATATTTTATTTTTTCCCATCTCTGTAACCTCTCTGTGTGTATATGAATGCAGTGTTGAGCTCTGCAAGTATCTGTAACACTGTGACATCACAGCCGGGAAAAGGAGCCTGACGGGGAAACATGCCCTTAGCTGCCACCTTGGTGAAGATCTGTGGGCGTGAAGCTTCAATTGCAGCCCGCTGCAGTGGGCCCGCAGTGAAGTGACTTACATACTGCACCAAACTTTTAAATAACAACTCACACAACTGCGCGAATCCCTCTCGAAACATTCTTTGAGGTCGAGTCAGAGTGAAGAGCAGGTGGGAGAGCTTAATTGCTGGAGAATAAGACATAATGTGAAAAAGTTTTAGAGTTCCACAGATTAGGGCACAGTCCTTATCGTTATTATATGCAAAGGATGAACTGAGAACAGACACGATTCAGAAATACTATTTTTTTTTTAACACTAAATATAAAGCCAGGAAGAAAGTAAATCTGAGAGTGGTCATAGGATGAAGCCCGTAGGAAACAGAACATACCCACACACAGAGCTAAATAACACAATAACAAATTGAAAAAACATGCGTTCCATTCTTTGTGGCTCCGTCAGATGTTAATCTGAAGCACAGTAGAATCTGTTGGGCTCACAGTCGGTTTGATGATGTTCCTGCTGTTTGCCAATGAGGATGATCATGACGTAGGCCATGACGTTGACAATACCAGCAAGTTTGACCTCTCCTGCATTTCTGGCTTCTCTAAGTGAACCCCCCACCCATCTTTGATAATAGGAATACAGGCTATATTTGGATGCTGTGATGTCACAAGTAGTTTAGGCAGGATGCTATAACTGAGCAGGCAGTATATGCAAGCCAGAAAGACCAGTGACAACACGAGTGCCCTGCTGGGAAGGCTGGTGGATCTCGTCCCCACGGATTAGTGTAACATCAGGTCAGTCCTCCGGCTGCGTGCCTTCATTACATTTGTGCAGATGGGTCATTCTCATTCCTTGTCTTATGAACGGTCACGTGTTTTGTGCTTGCTTGCACGTCCTCTGTTGCAAAAGTCACTTGAGGATTTTATTGTCAATCCAAGGCATTCAATGCATTCTGTTTTCCCAATCTAATTATTTGTAGTTTCATTCGGGAAATAAATGCAATTTGTAATTGTAATTACAGATTCTCTAAACATACATTTCTTTAACACGGAACTGTAAACATATGAATGAACTTGGGTATTGTACTAAAATGACGAATTAGCGAATAATAAAGTAATACGTGATTCCACATATGAAATGCATATACATGTATTCGTGTTTTAAAAAGTGAAATATATTTTAAAATTTTAGTTTGAGTTTACCATAAAGAAAGAACATGTGCCACCCGAAGCTGCCCGCTTTCTTCCTCGCGCTGTCCCTGGTGCTGCGCTGTATCACAGCTGCTCCCAACAACTGGTAAGTCTACCCGACTGCAAAAGACAGCTTTTAGAGGAATATGCAAGAGTCGCATTTCTGTTTATAAATTATACAGATAGTACAGACCCGCAACAAGTGGAGATCTTTACAATCTGTCGTTAACTAGGGATTTTATAGATGCTTGCGCATGAGACCCGAGGAAACGATTGTGCAATCGAGTGCCCACTCCAGTTCACTTGCTGATCTCCAAAATTCGTGCTGGAAGCTGGGGTCAGGAGCCAGAAACTGTGGCTTATGATTATTGCCTTTTTAAAACTCTCTGTAGGTACTCGGCTTCGTCCAGTGAACTGACGGATCCGCGACCAGAAGGCTGGATATCCCCCGGATTTTCAACCAACCCCTTCCTAAAATTGGATAATCCGTTACCCCAGGAGGGTCTAACTGCAGTCAACAGGTAACGACAAGTTCAGCATGTTTTCTTTAGTTGTAGGCTAATTAACTTTTCTCGAGTGAAATGCTTTCGTGTCGCTTAATGCGATAAAGCTTAACGTGGGGTAGTGTCCCAAAACAACAGTTTAAAGAAATCAAATTTCTCTCATACGTAACTGGTCATAAACAGTCACTTTCCAAATGCACGAAACAGTAATATAGAACTGCAAGCTAAAAACTGTTAGCCTATATAAATTTACATTAACGCTGTGCCTGGGTATCTCTCTGTTAGTGACATATTTTACCTGATCCCAGGCACCACATACAGAAGCGGAGGTGCAACACGGCCACGTGCGTGACCCAGCGGCTCGCCGACTTCCTGATCCGATCCAGTAACACCATCGGCACGGTGTACGCCCCTACCAATGTGGGCTCCAACACTTACGGCAAGAGGGAGCTGCTGACATCCATCGGCAACCAAGGTCTTTAGTCCAGGATATAGCTGCAGGAACTATTTCCTGCAATGGCCACGCTTAGTACATTAACTTTAAATTATAATAATTATAATAATCATCTGCTCTAGTTTCCGTTTAGCTGTTTGTTGATGGTTTGGCCTGATTTTTGTTTCATTTTATTCCACCATTGATGAGAATTAAAACGACCGTCACTGTTCATCCAGCGCGTCATACTATTACCATACTGGCTCCAGCAATCAACCAAAAAGTGTCTAGATTTAGCATGACTTTACAATGACGTGTGTGTGAAATGTACTGAATAAAGAATAGGTAAACTGGGCCAATTATGTATATCTAGAATTAAAAAGCTTTGTTTGATTTTGTAATAAAACTGAGTATTTCAAATACCAAGACTTGGATTGAATATTAATGTACACCACATTATTTGGGGTATTCAAGTGATAGTAGATTATTAGAGTCTAGTACTGATAAATGACAGAAAATCAAATATTTCCTTCTCAGTAGTATGAGATAAGGTGAAATATGATGGATGAACTAGGAAGTCCTGGTCCACATCATGAAGGTCAGGTGTACTGTGGTAATAAAGTGATCAAAATGGAAACTATCTGGGCAAGGCACCAGATTATATCACAGGATAAAACATTTCTGCACAAATGGTGATGGAAGGGATTGGAATAAGTTTCCCATAATTATAATTACGTCTAATTTAAGTCTGTATTGAATGAAGACACAGTTCTTAAATATCTAAATAATGATATATAAATACTATGTTAATTTAAAGTGTTCTTAAAAACTGAATATCTGGCAGAAAAAAAAAGTATAGTATTGTGATTGTGGTAACCAAACTATTCTTTAGGCTGATCGGAGTCGAAAGGGTTCAATAGTTCAATTAAAACATCAACAGCAGCCAATACAGCTGATAATATCACAGTTTGGAGCAGCTGGAGGAAGCAGGACCACCAGGAATTACTGCATACAGACAGGAATATTAATTATCACTGAGATTCTGGTAACACTGTGTACATGGTGCATCCCTCAGATCCTACATTTGATCCCACAAGGATTTGCCTTTTTGTTTTAACAGCAAAAGTAACAGATCCAACAGGTCAGTGCAAGTTGTATAGCACCATGTCTTTTACCACACTGCTTTCGGCATGGTGACTCGGTAAGCACAGTGCAGCATTTGAACATGAACAAATGGACACCCTGACCCACATCTCCCAGCGTAGCAGCAGCTGTCTTCGCCGAGTTCTTCACGTTGATGTTGCCCTAACAGCATTGCTCTTTGCAGGCGACCCTGTGGGGACACGCTTTGGTACGAGTCAGACCAGGTCTGCAGGTTTGTATATGGCTTGGATAACAGGAAAGCCGTCTCTTACTGAAGCACATGCTGATTGCCCTGGAAGACTACAGACACAATGCTATGTGAAGGAAGCCAGTGATGTGAGACTGACATATCCATCGTTAGTTATATGGTCCTTGTCATGTTTTTTAGATGACAGGTGTCAGTGGATGCTGTCACTCATAAAGTAACAGGTGTGTGTATTTTATCATCCTTTGTTTTTTTTTATGGCTGGCATGGTGGTGCAGTGGTTAGCACTGTTGCCTCATACTTCTAGGACCTGGGTTTGAGTCTCCGCCTGGGTTACATCTGTGTGGAGTTTGCATGTTCTCCCCATGTCATCGTGGGGTTTCCTCTGGGCACTCTGGTTTCCCCCCCACAGTCCAAAGACATGCTGAGGCTAATTGGAGTTACTAAATTGCCCGTATGTGTGCTTGTGTGATTGAATGGTGTGTGAGTGTGCCCTGTGATAGGCTGGCCCCCCATCCAGGGTTGTTCCCTGCCTCATGCCCATTGCTTCCAGGATAGGCTCTGGACCCCCTGTGACCCAGCAGGATAAGCAGGTTGAAAGATGGATGTTTTTTTTTTTTATAACTCAGAGTTATCCACCCCCCCACTAGAGGTCAGTTGTCATACTTGTTTTGTGCTTTGACTATGCCCACCTATGATACTCCAAAATAAGACCAGACCATTTTTTTGTGACCCTTTCACCTATGTGACCCATTTTAGGTAATAATTCAATTAATTAAAAACATCCGAAAAATGTTTGAGAATAAAAGGTAAAATCTAGACATTCACCAAATAATGGTTTTGCCTTTTGAGACTGAATACCATCCATGACTGTAAATAGTCTCAATGTCCTCCCAATATGAGTCACTGGAGCTCAACCTCTGTGATGTAATATGCAGTATAATTAACAAGACAGCGGAAATGTGTTTTCCTCCAGCATGCGGCTCCGTGTCAGATGAATCCTCTTTTAATCCAGGCGTGTCGAGCAATTTTAGAGCCTGTCATCAGTTTATTGGAGCACAATGGAGATGACCACCATACTGGTGGCGAATGTCAATAACTGATATGGCTGAGACCCATCACGTTCTGGTGCGCATATGAACAGCATAATGGGAAGGTGAAAGGTCACTTTGCCTGTCCAGGGTAATTTTAATGCTTGATGCATAAAGACCGCTGTGGTTATTACCACTTTACCAGTCTGTGGATCTAAAGTCAATTTGCGTCAGAACACATGCCATTTATCACATTTCATAATTAATATGGCATGTTGTAATTAATTTAGCAGCGAATGTAAGAGCCTATACTTCCATTTCCGCATACAGTGTAATCGTACACTGGCCTAAATTAAAGACCCGAGCACTGGGAGAATCCAAGCCTTTCCCAGAGCTAACAGAGGTAGCACCCTGGGTAACGACATCACCTCACCGGCAGCTCTTTATTCCATACACCAGAGAAGAATTTATTTCCTCACCAGCTTCTGTTGTAAACACCTGGCACTGTGCCATATGTGCAATATCTTTAAGAAACCCAAATAACCACTGCCAGATATATCCAAATTATTGTAGCTAGCTTCTTAAAATTTCTTTATTACACTTCTTGAAATAGCACCAGTTACAGTAATGTGTATGTGCCCCTCATTGACATTCTCCTTTCCACAATTGCGAGTTTTCTTTCTTTGACTGTTCTGCATTTATATCGCTGGTGCTCTATGGCGGAGACTATCAAATCAACCCGTTCTGAAAAGAGCACTGTCAAATATTATAAGTTTGTATCCAATCCAAGGGACCGTAATTGAAACTTCCATGGCTGTTACAATGGAGCCTGTGTGACAGATTGGGAGCCACAAGCGGTGATGAGACGTCCTACCCCCTGCTTCTGATTTTTTATGGGAGTCTTTCCCGTGTTTATGGTTTTATTTTCGGAGGTTCGCCTGTAATTTATTGTCAGTTACTTATTACCATTTATTACCAGGTGACCATCGGCTCTAAAAAGGACAGAGACCTGCTAGAGGAACGGGTAACGCAAGTGGCGCTTATGACACAGTACGCCCTTACATATCCATACCGTCGTTTGGGTGACGGAATTTAGCTGTCTGCATTCACTCGGTTAGAGGTAAGTTAGGCATTTATGAAAACATTTAGAGAAATTCTGATGCAAAATATGTGGTTTATTACTCTCTTACAAAACAGATTTTAAAACCTTACTATTATGCCGCCAATGTTGAGGAAGTTACTCATCCATTACAGACATAGGTGGGAAGTTCTGGTCCAGAAAGCACAAATCCAGACCAAGGTTTTGTTTCAACCAACCAGTTGCCCATAAAGAGACACAGAATACTAAACTGGTTGGTTGAAACAAAACCTTGGTCTGGATTTGTACTTTCTGGAGCTGAACTTTCCACCTCTGTTTGTAAGCGTTTACCTCATCGAGCAACTTCCCCAACACTGTATGTCTTTTATAAACCGCGAACGCCATTTACCAAATTTTAAATCGCTTTTCATTCGAGTTGACAGGTGTAATTTGACCTTCGTCGGGTGCCGTAGTGAAGTGTTTATACGCAATCCCCTTTGGAGACGGACGAAACCTCAAGATGAGGGAGCCTAGTGGTAAAATAGAGCTTAAATGAACATACCATTCATTTCCTTTTATTCGGACCTTTGTCAGCGTATTAAAAGAACCCGATTATATTAGTTTCTTCCCCGAAATGTCAGCTGAGGTAAAGACGAAGAAGTTTGTGGTCGTCGGCGGTGGCATTGCTGGTGTAACGTGTGCTGAACAGGTCAGTGAAACTGGCCGTACTGATGTGAACATGGTGTAAAGTGATTATTTGGATGAGATAAAGATTGAAGCGGCTAAAAAAATAATTTGGATGCAATTGTTTGAGAAGCATTGTCCACGTGTCTCAATAAAGGAGTCTCACGGGGTTTTTGAACTTTACCCTTCAGCTTGCGTCACAGTTTCCGTCGGATGAGATCGTTCTCATCACCGCCGCTCCCTTAATAAAGGCGGTTACCAACTTCAAACAGGTGACAACCGCTTGGGTCCTGAAAGTTTGCCATTTTGGGGTTCACTCTATATCTGAGCTTAATAAACTGGCCGCAAACCATGTACAGCACTGCTACGCAAAGCCATTTAATTTCCCTTACAAACTGGTCCTGTTTTTAATTATTAAGCACAGTGATCCTATTATTACAACTGTTGTATCAATTTATACTGTATACAAATACTGTCCAATGGTGATGTTTGGTTAAAGCAGTTTGAGTACATCTAATACCGGTTTAGGGCACACCTAATTTTGTGTTCATGTATGTATACATTTTTTCATTAGATCTCCAGAACGCTCGAAGATTTTAATGTTGAAGAACAGCCAATCAGTGTCTTAGAAGAAAAATATCCAAACTTGAAAGTGGTCCAGTCTGCTGTAAGAAAACTACAAGGAGCGCAGCATGTAGGTGTATTAATTGTTATAACAGTTAAACGTGCGAATTTAAGTTCGAATACGGGCCTGTGCGTGTCTATCGCAAATCTCAAAGCATGCCGACCCTCCTCCTTGTGACCATTTTTATGAATTACATTTAGCCTGAGTACGTTTATGCGGAACCTTTGGTCAACAGCTTTGGAATAATTACCAGAACCTCAGGGTCCAACATTTCTGTACTAAACGTCCTTAGGAACAACTCTAATTGGAAATAAAAACAGGGCCTCCCTGCTGCAACTAGAGAAAAACAGATTTTACACATTTTCTGCAACACGTTTAAGCTTGTGGTCCTAACATGCAGCAGTATAGAGTGCCTTAACTGCAAGCACTGCAGTGTGGTAGATCTGGTTAATGAGAAAAGCCATCTGTGTCGTCTTAGACACTACAGACCGAAGATGGCAGAGAGTTCCACTATGACAAACTGTGTATCTGCAGCGGGGGGCGGCCCAAGCTGCTGACTGAGGACAACCCCTATGTGCTGGGCATCAGAGATACCGACAGTGCCCAGGTATGACACTGACTGGTCAGCTGGTAGACTGTAATACACACAAACCATAAAACACATTATCAAAATCCTACTGTACGGCTCTTCAAACCAGGAAATAGCATATTATTTTTATATTTCAGTTGTTAGCTTAAGTTACTTATTCCACCAGTTACATTGTATGCAGAATTAAGTTGCTCACTCCCGTATTCTTTCCCAGGATTTTCAGAAGCGTTTGTCAAAAGCAAAACGAATAATTGTTGTCGGAAATGGAGGAATTGCTTTGGAGCTCGTGTGAGTATAGCAGTGTTGCTTTGCTGTGCCGTATGGGTACATACCTCCGCAAAATGTGCACATAATATTTCCATACTGCGAATGAAGTGTGTGTAGGTGTGGTCATGCTACTTGTGCCCATGCTCAGGTACGAGGTGGAGGGCTGTGAGGTCATTTGGGTGATCAAGGACAAAGCCATTGGGAATACCTTCTTCGATGGTGGTGCCGCGCAGTTCCTCATCCCCTCTTTGCAGGCGGACAAGGCAGAACGGGCTGGCCCCTGCAAGAGGACCCGCTACACCACCGAGGACGCCTCACCCACGTACAGCCGTGCAGGTACAGACGCAAATGCCTGCGCCACACTGTTCATACACAGATGTGCGGTAAATGAGTGTTTACCCGTGCGGAAAGCCGACAAGTCAGTGACCGAAGCTTCACACGAAGGTGTTCGAGAAGAGCGATCCATTCCAAGCACGGGCAGTGCTCTAGGGCCAGACTGGCATGCAGATATGACGCTCCAGGGAGCCCAGCAGGTGAGAATTTCCAATTTCCATTCTTGTTTTTTGGTTATTTATGGCAACGCATTTTAACACAGCCTACCATTAAGTGCATTCCTATGAAATGAAAGTTTTGAAAATAAAATCTTGCGGTGGGATTAATAACTATTAAACTGTGAGGTAAATCAAGAGTTTGTTAAAGTGGCAGTCAATGAAGTGGTGCAGGGAGATATAATCTATTAATGCCTGAGGGGAAATTTGTGGTTGTGACCGAAACGTGAGACCAGCTGTGAAATATGCATTTTGAATTTCCTGTTGTTCCTGGTCTCTTTATTTTTTCAGGTGACTCAGTTGTAGATCATTTGAATAAGCTTGCATGTGTAGGGATGAGACTCAGACACTCCTTCCTTATGGAGTGTTTTTGGGGTGTAACACTGTGAGTATTTCCTGGTTGTAGGTGTCCCACAAAGTCCATGTTGAGTACCGGTGTGAGGTGCAGATGATCTACACCTCTGAGGAGCACCTACTGCGAGCATCGGGACAGTCACCTGAGACCGGCTGCATGCCGCCGGCAGACTCGGGTTGGTCAGGGGCAGTAGGATGGGTGAGGCTGGGGGTGTGGGTAACTGGAGTGGACCGATTAGAAGGTGCAGTTTGTGACATGGCTGCTGAATCAGGTGTTCAGTCAGCCAGCATTTCCCGTTGCTTTCCAGGCCCGTGGCCGGTGTTTGTCCAGTTGAAAAATGGCAAGACCTACGGCTGTGACTTCATCGTCAGCGCCACAGGGGTCATCCCAAACACAGGACCGTTTCTCAGTGGCAACAGTGTAGGTGTCATGATACAACTGCCAGCACCACAGCTCGACACATCTTGAGGCTCGCTGATTATTTGATTGGTTGATTTCCCCCCCTCCCTTAACTGCAGTTTGTATTGGCGGAGGACCTTGGCCTCAGTGTGGATGACCACATGCGCACATCAGTGGCAAATGTGTATGCAGCTGGGGACGTTTGCACGGCATGCTGGGAGACCAGTGCTTTGTGGCAACAGGTACAGCAGTTTCACTGGCTGTCTTTGTAGGTCTGTATGTGAATATCATGAAATTATTACGACAACCTTCTTAGGACCTTAAGGAATTTGACAGCAAATTGGAGCAGTACTGAGCAATGCAGAACCCTGCTTTGTAATGGTGACTTAGTCTTGCTGTCTTCTGATTGGCACCAGATGCGTTTGTGGACGCAGGCCCGGCAGATGGGCTGGCATGCGGCTCGGTGTATCGCGGCAGACGTCCTGGATGAGCCCATCGATCTGGACTTCTGCTTTGAACTCTTCACTCACATCACTAAGTTCTTCAACTACAAGGTTAGGGGACACTCACAGTCTGGATGCTGCAGCACTGACGATCTGTCAGGTCACCTGCGCACACTGATGGCCTTGAACTCTGATGCAAATGTTACTCTGTGGCCACTAGATGGCAGCCATTGCCTATCACCTGAATGCTAGCATGCTATATAGGTATTGAGGCTGTGAGATGCTGCTTATTGCATTATAGTAATGCAGAATTCTGAGTAGATTTACAGACAGCTCTTCATAAGTTAGTGCAGACTCTCATGATGTGCCTATCCTTGCCATGCTGCAACCGCTAACTACTGTGATTGAGAGGATTATCTTTGTACAGGGTCATTCCCTCTATGAAGATGCCTCATCTCCTGTCTACATGCAGGTAGTGCTCCTGGGGAAGTTCAACGCCCAGGGCCTGGGCCAGGACCACGAGCTGCTGGTGCGCTGCTCCCCCGGCGCCGAGTACGTGAAGGTGGTGCTGGCCGAGGGCCGCATGGTAGGCGCCGTGCTCATCGGGGAAACGGACCTGGAGGAGACCTTTGAGAACCTCATGCTGAACCGCATGGACCTGACGGCCTACAAAGATGAGCTGCTCAACCCCAACATCGACATCGAGGACTATTTTGACTGATGTTGTGCCCATTGCATGATGACCGCTAATTCTTGTGCATTAATTTGGACATTTCACTCTGGTTTCAGAGAGGAGGAAAATTTGATAAATGACATTCTTATTTACATAATCATTTGACATGTACATGGGAAAAACAAATTTTATTCACAAATTAGCAATTTAGGATTGGGTTTAACAGAAAATCAAGAGGATTTCAGACTCAGTTGTGCATCAGGAACAATGGACAGTGTATTACTATTATTATTCTGGAGCAGTGCAAGAAAAAAGGCAAATAAATAGGGATAAAGATTGTGTCAAAGTCCCCGTCTAATGAGATGTCTTCTGCGTGTGCTGACTCGTGTCCACAGGCTCCGTACGGACTTTGCAAAGGATGAGCCCCAGGGCAGCCGCAGGCTCCTCAGGGCTCCCTTGGTACAGGTTGCTATGGCAGAGTCACTGTCGTTTAAGTGCTCATGGGATACGTAGTCAATTCGCTGCAGCTGCCTGCCATAGTAGCTGCGCAGATGACAAAGCTCCTCCACAGCAGCAGCAGAAATGATGGATCCCTCTGAAGGAGCACTGACTATTACTGACCCCCGGTGGACGGGAGGGCTGCCTAAACTATCCGTTGCTTCAGTTGATGGGTGTCTTTGCTTCTTTTTAGCTGTTGTCGACTTACGTTTTCCGTTGCTTTTGAAAGGTACTACTACATCAATTTCCATTGTGGCTTTCTTGTTGACATCCTCCTTTACAGCAGCGGAGTGAAATTCAGTCTGCAGGGCAGGGCTCCTGCCAGCTGTACCTTCTTGCTCATCGCTGAGTTTTACGGCCTGATTCTGCTGGTTTTTGGATTTCTTGGTGAATTTGTCGTTTCCATGTGAAAGGCAGTCTCCACTAGACGGAGACGGAGGAGTCTGCAATCCGGACGGGGACCCAGCCTCCTGCAAACGAAGAGAAATGATCAGTCGGGATCAGGGGTTTGAGAGATCCTTCACCCTCCACCCGGTCCATAATGGCAGGACCACACTGGGCCGTATCGGGTTCAAGGGGAGCGTACAGTGCAGTAACACGGTTAGTATAATAAACAAAAGTGGTTAGGGAGTTAATGGTCAGACCGGTGCAGATGAATGAGTTAATGGTCAGACCAGTACAAAAGAACGTCAACAAATCAACAGGGTGTTATGCGATGAGATTAGTGCAATCAATCAGGACTGTTAGTATGTTACCCATGAATGGACACTTGCATATGGAACCATGCCTGGGTAATGGCTTTATGGATACATGTTCTGGGCAGGACACGTAAAGCGACACCCTTGTTGACAAGCTTTTATATGCTCTCTGACAAGCTGTTAGATGGTATCCCATCATGCAATGTCCAGGGAGAAATACAAGTAGCAGAACTGTACTTTTTTTTAGGTCTCCTCCTGGGCGAATCAGAGAACATCGTCGTTTGCTTTCTTGGCCATGGGGTCTCGGGCCTTGTCTCCAGGCCGCTTTCGTCCTTTGGGCTTTACCTGTGCTCTATTCCTATCTCCACTTGCCTTGGACGCGCGGTCTGCCTGTTGGTCATTAATTCATTAACAACATCAGTGGGAGTACCTGAGATGGCAGCAGCACCAGGTCACTGGCAAGACATCCGGGGGGGGAAAAAAAAACATTACACTGCAGCATTTGGGAAGCAAGAGGTTCATAAGCAAGGAAGTGCTGTCATGCATATTTGACAGCTAAAGCGTAAAAACCAGTCGTCTTACTCAAACTTATTTGCTGAGCCACGAACAGTCAGCAGTCTTAGGAACTGTGCTGGCTTGTGAATTTGATGGTACATGAGGTGCAACACGTCATTCAAAAGCAAAGAAATAAAAACCGAAGTTAAAAAATTGACATTTCCTAAATGTTAGCTTAAAACAGAGTTATTCTGGGGTTTCCCCTTCTTCATTTCCAGTGGCTGACTCCGAACTGGTTGGACAGTAATTCCGCTTTTGTGAAGAGACAAAATAGCTATTGATTCCATGGTAGTAAATGGAAGAGCATTGACCTGTGTCACTGTGCATGTGACGGCCTCAGAACCATAAATCTGACTTATGATATTGATTCAGTAATAGAGAATAATTCGGTTTTTTTGACAGCACAAAACTGGGACAAAATTGCTAGGATGCAAGGTGTGAAAGACTGGCAATTTGGCCCAGAGCCCTTATTATGCAGAATGAAACTAACAAATGTGTCCTATTGAACCAAATGTCACAAATATCAAGTCTTTCCATAGTATTCATATTCCTTAATGACCCTTAACTGCCATCCAGCAAAATAAAGGGCTTCAAAGTCAATTTGTGACAGTGCAGATTACATGAAAGGGGGGAGGGGGTACCGGTCTGTTTGAAATACTCGCTAAGCGGGTGGGGTGGGGGTTCTGGTCATTGTATTAGCAGTCTGATTATACGCTAATGTCCATCTTCTAATGACACCTGGGGCCTGGGTGGGCTAGGGACCGGCTCACAGTAACCTTTGACAGACACCGTCTTGTGCATTTTCCAGGACTAAAGCAGCACTGAATTACTACGTCGTTACACCCATTAGAACAAGGTTGTCTGCACATTGGTTTTGTGTTAAAGTGCTAATGAAGGCTAATGGAATCTAATTAGATTGTTAAAGATCGATTGTCCACCCTACAAAAAAATTACATTTCCAATCACATTACTGTGACGTGACTCAAGCGGTGATTCAGTTAGTACCAATGGACAAACGATTGTGAGTTTAAAAATGCAAAATCCAAATTCTGTGCATTAAACGCATGATCCGGGAGACCCATGACAAAAACAGCAGCTTCTGGGAGGCGTCGGCCCACTTAGACAAAGCGACCTACCTTCACGGGCTACTCCGGGCCAAACGGGAGGTAAAGTAAAGTTGCTTGCATGCATTGGAAAGCAGGAAAGAGAAGTGAAGACAAAGGAAAATACAGAGCCTGGAAATTAGGAAGGAAGAGAGAGGAGTTTGAATGGAAGGCTGTAACGCCAACCAACTAAAGAGAGATCCAGTCAGAAATATTGCAGTCTGAGGAGCAATGAGGAATATGGAGATACACAAGAACATGAGAGATTAGACAGGAAGTTAATCGGCAAGAAGACAGGAACAGCCACACAGAATATCAAACGTGACGCACTTGCTCGTCCCCGGCTGGAGTCGTCCTCATTTTCATTTTGACAGTGTGCTTATCGTTCTTCAGCAGCGGAGCCTTGCTACCCAGCTTCAGGTAGAAGTAAGTGGTGTAGGGGGTGAAGCTGAAGTCCTCACTTTATGAGGTAATGGGGGGGGGGGGGGCAGCAGAAAGAATATGTTAACTGGACAGTCCTTTCAAACCAGGTTTGGAATGAGTGACGCTATAGCGGCAGATACCTGAAGTATCCCTGCAGCAGCAGATGGATGAGGATGGATTCCACCACTGGGCGGGACAGCATGGTCATCTGGATCATCTTACGCTGCTTGCTGGGACCCTTCCCCATCCAGGCATCTATCACCTTCAGGGGCGTCATCTTCTCATCTGCGGCAGTAGAAAGCTCCACAATCCGCACCACCTCTCGGGCGTGTTGCGTGATGTCTGATGTGATGCAATCTGGAGTGGCGAGAGACCACAGAGGTCATACATAGGAATTATACGTTGACTTAACAGTGGGTGGGAAGGACAGTATATCTGTACAGTGCAGACAGTCTCTTGGTGAACTAGCTGGAAGCTGTACCGACACTTACCATTTCCATGGCGACAAATATCGCACATTCCATTGCAGCCCTTGTCGTCCCAGACCTCATCAAAATGAGCAGCCATCACCTTACGGCGGCATCTGTGCAACAGTAAAAGAGAGAGTTCCTGGGAGGAGGTATGTAGGACTCCAAAGTTCCTATCACATTTTGGCCCTCTAACAGGTGAAGGTTAAGGAGTACATGAGGAACATGTCTGCAGTCCTATTGGTGCCTGACCTTGGACTGCCTTCATTCAATGAGGAACCGACTTTACACTTCAAAGTATGGCTTTGAAGATATTGTGGCCGAAGCCTGCATTACCTATCCCAGTTCTGGCAATACGCCACCATCTGCATGAGCTTCTGCTGGCCAACGTTCTCCATGACAACCATAGTGCTACTCCTAAAGACATCCGCAAAACCGGAGTACAGGATGCAGTCCGCGGGCTTCCCGTCCCGTCCTGAACACAAGAATGCAGAAGAGTGAGCACAGGGATGCCACCTGAAGGTGGCAGCATGCAGTCACGAGGTCACCGGTGCCATACCTGCCCGGCCGCTCTCCTGGTAGTAGTTCTCCATGGACTTGCTGATGGAATGGTGAATGACGAACCTGACGTCAGCCTTGTCTATGCCCATCCCAAACGCCACGGTCGCCACCACCACCTGGTTGGACACCCACCTCAGCAAAACGTTTTCTCATAACCCACCTTGGCAGGGCGTCTGGAATACAGCCCCCAACCTCCACCCTCACACTTAAAACACACCTGGATCTTGTTGGCCATCCAATGCTGGTGCACCCTGGATTTGTCCTCTGGCGCCATGTTGGCGTGATATGGCTGGGCGGCAATGCCCTTCTTCTGTAGATCTGCTGAAACCACTTCTGCATCTTTCTGGGAGAATACGTAAATGATTCCTGGAGTGGGGAGGAAACACAATTCAGGCGGTTGTGTGCCTTAGACCAGTGTGGCCCAACCTGGTCCTTAGGGACCCACAAGCAGTCCACATATTTGCCTCTACCTGGAGCTGAGGGTCTCCGAGGACTGAGATGGGGAACACTGCCTTACGCCATAAGTCCATCTCTGAACAGTGTTTGTCCTTTTGATTTTTATATGGAGGACATTCATGTTTAATTATCCCACATTACCAATCGACTCACAGGGACACAAACCTTTCACATTAAATATTACCTGACTGGTTCGTGTATCTGTCTCTGATCAGGGCCACTATGTCATTAGTGGAATCTTCCTGACCTGCTGGTTTAGTCCGAACCTGAACCAAAACAAGAGGTTCAGCAATGCTGTAGATGTTTCCTCCGAATTACCACTGAAGCTTAATCATCAAAACCCCATCATGGGATTAGCAATTTTTACCCATTAAAAATACAGTTAGGTACAAAAATATTTGGACAGTGACACATTTTTCATAATTTTGGTTTTGTACATCAACCACACTCGATTTGAAATGAAACAATTGAGATTGTATACAAATATTAGGAATTGCAGTCATTGCAGCTATAATTCCTGAACCCTTCCTCCAATTTGGATGTGCATACCCTGAAATTAAAGCTGAGAGCACTTTATGTCCATATTCATTATATAACTGTAATTTGAAAATGTTTCAGTAAACAGGTAAAATAACAAAACTTGCATCAGTGTCCAAATAATTATGTACCTAACTGTACAATGAATTGTCCCAAAGTTAAAAAAAAGATTTAAAAATCAAGCTAATTAGTTATATTGCGGTTAGAATTACTAACTTGTGTAATAACCTAACCATTTCCAATCACATTTCAGATTGAATATTAGTGGCTAGGACACCTGATATTACATTTAAACCTCCCTTAATTGTACTGAAGTCAGTGGGGGGGGCTGATTTAATTGTTACATCTCCTCCTGGTGGGGGAACTTGGTGTTACACCAGTGTTTCTAAAACCAGTCCTCGGGCACCAGGAGGAGCAATAATGAGGACTGTCTGGCAAGGAGTGGGAAGGGACCAAAAGCATAGACCGTCCGGTGGTCACCGAGGACCGGATTGGCAAACACTGTGTTACACTTAGGTGAAAGCTGTCAGTTAGCCGACAGGTGTGTTTAAGATGGCCGTGGGGCTGACATCACCTCGTAGTAGAGGTTGGTCCTGTTGAAGGACGCGGTGAGGGTGACGGGCTCTGGCACGTTCAGGATCTTCTGGCAGTCCTGCAGCAGGTTGCTGGTGGCAGTGGCCGTCAGTCCGATCAGCGGCACCTGGGGAAACTGGCGCTTCAGGATTCCCAAGAGCTTGTAGTCTATGCCAAAGGAGAGACATCAGCATCAAATAGGTGACACACTATGCATCCAGACTGCGGATAACATCAGAACAGACCTCAACTGTGTCCTGGCTGCTTGGTGCCATTCATTATTGATCTAATGATTAAACTACATCCACAACACCTCAGTAGGAATCTGAATGCTCAGTAAATCTACCAGCTGTGTCCAGGCTAAAAGTAGCTGTATATTACAACCAAAATTGATGGGATCAATATCGTTTTAGAAATATGATGTTGAATAAGTGGTGATCACCCGAATATATGATAGGTCACGCGGAGATTTTAAACATCTGCAAACGACCTGCAATTCATGGGTAGAAACTGTAGGCAAGCATACATGTATCTGTGCTCAGATTGTGCGTCTGCTGCATCGAAAACATTCTGAAAACTGTAGGACTTTAAGCGTGAAGGAGAATGAACGAAGTGGCATCGTTTTAGATATGTGACAGATTGTTCTTGCTGACATGTTCGTTTTCATTTAGTTCTGATGTCATTCTGAACTATGTGGCCACCTTAACGCCACCCGTCAGTTTTGCCGGTGGAAGCCGAACTAACCGGGCCTGAAATCATGGCCCCACTGGCTGCAGCAGTGGACCTCATCCACAGCGATGCGATCCAGCTTGCCCGCATGGTGGGCCTTCTCCAGTTTGGACATCAGCATCTTGCTCTTGGCTATCTTCTCTGGAGTCACATACAGCAGCTTGAACGGCGTTTCCTTATCCGTCAAGCCGGCCAGCACCGACTTGGCATCATCCTGAAGCAAGTGGGCAGTTTCGCTATGTAGTCACACTAACGATTCACCACATGGTACCACATACTAAACACACACTGCAGATTCTAAGTACCCAAAAAGCTTTTACATAACCAGGATAATGTTCCCCAACGTTAATGTGAAAACGCAGAAAAGGTGTACAGGATGGGGTGTATATGTCCACGCAGCAGAATTCTGGGATAGGCTACCTTACTGGTGGAGGCATTGAGGGTGACTGCTGGCACATTGATGGACTTCAGGTACATGAGCTGATCCTCCATCAGAGAGACCAAGGGGGCAATCACCAGAGTGAAACCTGTGGTAAAGATGCAGCTGATTTAAGGTACCAAATCACCTGGAATAGCCCACGCACAGAAGATTACATAATGGAGACTGTACATAAGTGGCATACATCAACAGCCATACCACCTGCAGTTCAGACTAGATAATCCATCAGCAGCTAAGCAGGTTTGGGCCTGGCCAGTACCTAGATGGAAGACCAACTATGAAAGCTGGGTTGCTGCTGGAAGAGGTATTGGTGTGGCCAACAGGTCAGCCCATCCTGTGGTCAGTGTGGATCCCAGTGCCCCAGTGCAGTGATGGGGACACTGTGGACAATAGGGGAGCCCATCCTGTGGTCAGTGTGGATCCCAGTGCCCCAGAGCAGTGATGGGGACACTGTGGCCAATAGGGGAGCCCATCCTGTGGTCAGTGTGGATCTCAATGCCCCAGTGCAGTGATGGGGACACTGTGGCCAATAGGGGAACCCATCCTGTGGTCAGTGTGGATCCCAGTGTCCCAGTGCAGTGATGAGGACATTGTGGCCAACAGGGGAGCCCATCCTGTGGTCAGTGTGGATCCCAATGTCCCAGTGTAGTGATGGGGACACTGTGGCCGACAGGGGAGCCCATCCTGTGGTCTGTGTGGATCCCAGTGCAGTGATGGGGATACTGTGCTGTAAAAATCCGTCCTTCGGATGAGACATAAAACCGAGATCCAGACTCTCTGAGGTCATAAAAGATCCCTGGGCTAGGGGTGGTACCCTGAGATCCAGGCTAAAAATGCCCACTGTAGCCCTAACAAATCCAGCCTCCTAAATCATCCCCTATATCTAACTGGTGAATTCAGTCCTGCCCCTTCACCACCTTAGCTACTGCGTGGTGAGCGTACTGGCGCAGAATAGCTGCCATGGCATCATCCAGGTGGTGGCGGCTGAAGAGGCTCCCCATTGGTTCTGTAAAGTGCTTTGGGAGTGTTGAAAAGTGCTACATAAATGTAACATTTATTCAAGTGTGTATCTGTGAGAGAAAATGACATCTGTGATGGTGTGTTTATGTACACAAATAGGGTTCTGAAGGGCAGTGATGGAGCATCCGCATTAGATAACTAATTAGATAAGGAAACTTATACTACATCACACTACCAGTCAAAAGTTTTCCATACACTAAGATTTTCTACATTTGCAAAAACTTTTGACTGGTAGTGTATATTACTTTATGTAGTTTTATCCAAAGCAATACACAATTGATAAAGCGGGGTTAGCCTGTCACAAGAGCCCAATGGTGACATCACTGGGATTTGAACCAACAACCTTCCCATCACAGCCACAGCAGCCCAACCCACTGAGCAACATACCACCCCATAATACTAATGTAGACTGCATGTAGCAGGCCGGCAGCACCTCCAGAGCAGACAGCCGGCAGCTGGTAACACAAGCTCTTTCCTCCACCCGTGGGCATCACCAGGAAGACGTCTTTCCCGGACATAGTGAGGTTGATGGCCTTCAGCTGCAGCGGCCGGAACTTGGTAAGGTGAAATGTCCCCGAGAGCTGGAGCCGCACTTCCTTGGACCATGTGAAATCTGGGAATGGAGACACGGCCAATCTGGGAATCGCAGGAGGCTTTCAAAGAAACTTTACTTCTGCCATCTGAATTTCATAAGAGCGAGGGTATGCTGAACGCAAATCCATCTGATAAGTAGGTATGAGCCGCCTTTGTATGTGTGTGTGTGTTACCTGTGCCCTCATAGCGCTTCAGATCCTGCTTGGTTCTGCCAGACCCTTGTGAGTGGGCGGAGCCCGAGGGCTGGGCGGAGTTAGAGGCCTGCTTCAGCCGCTTGAGCAGCTGACTCTTCCTGGAGTTCAGATCTGACTGCCGCTCCAGCAGCTCCGCTATCTGCTGCTCCACCACCACCAGCTCCGACTCCACGGACTCCAGCTCCGCCTGAGCATCTGCGGACAAACGGCAGCGCTGACCGGCTGTCGTGCCCAGAGGAGTGGCTGAGAAGCCAGCACTAGCAGGTTCATTTCACTGGCCAAAACAGCTGAGCGTGTTACATCCATGCACTGCGATTCTGGAGTTTGGCCAATTATCAATTTGACACGGATCCTCCGTAAGACCCAAATGCTGCCCTTAAAATTAATCTGCTAAGTTTGCCTGAGTTTATACCTGCAAAAAAGTATATTCGAACATAGAGCTCGTTTGCAACAAACGAGCTCTATGCAAGCCAGACTGACACCCCCCCTTTGCTAACAAGCTCCTTCCTCCCAACAGAACACTAATTATCACCTTTGTCAGGCAAAACAGAGGCAGCCATCCATTCACAAGCAGAACTAAATTACCTAATATTCTTAGGAAATGCTCTCGCAGGGAATGCACTCATCTCTCAGGACACATCACTGTTTGTTGTTATAAATATCCATCCATCCATTTTCTGTAACTGCTTATCCAAATCAGGGTCACAGGGGGGCCGGAGCCTATCTATGAGACTGCAGGCGTAAGGCAGGGAACAACCCAGGATGGGGCGCCAACCCATCACAGGGCACACTCACACACCATTCACTCACACTCACACACCACTCACTCACACTCACACACACATACACCATTCACTCACACACCATTCACTCACACACCATTCGCACCTACAGGCAATTTGGCAACTGCAACCGCCCTCAGCTTGTCTTTGGACTGTGGGGGGAAACCAGACTACATGGAGAAAACCCCACAACAACACGGGGACAACATGCAAACTCCATCCATGCACATGGCAGTCTGGCGGAGACTCGAACCCAGGGCACAAAGGTGTGAGGCACCACCATCACCCTATTATAGATATCAATACATCTTTTATTTACTGGTTCTACTGTACATGCAAGACATGAAAAGCACCACAACACCGCCATCACAGTCACAAAAACTGAACTCACCATTGGCGCTATTTTTCTCCATGTCACAGTTAGTCAGTTGGCAGGTTTATCTCACAGCCTCGTCGTTCTGTGGGAGAGACCAAGCTGATTTCTGCCAAGGTGGGCAGACAAGCTTATGCTACCAAAAGCTACACATCAAAGGTTGACATTTTTTCTAGTCTGAGTATACAGCAATTAATGTGTAAAAGAANATTCTTCTATACATTTATGAAAATCACCTTGTTATGTCCTTCAGGTATGTAGAATTTTGTTTAAACTGAGAAATTGTATAAAACATGCTTTTAAAATACGCTTTTACATTATGAAATGTTTTTTTTTTTTCAGCTACTCTACAGGCCATATACAAATTACTACAATATCCTGAATCTACGAGGCTCCTTCAATAAATGTTTAACAATTAACTGTACAATCATTAACGTAAGTGGTCAGGTTTAACGTCATTTACTCAAAGACACATTTGTTACCGAGTTTAAGCAGGGTCAAAAATCTACAGCGATCGAAGGGCAAAAGATCACTGGGACTAAGAGAAACCGCCCAAGGCCAAAGCTTTGCAGGAATAAATGAAAGATGTTGTATGTTGTCTATAACGTCAACTTATATAAGACACACCCACTTCCTTAAGTGACAGATGATATAGCACTAATTCTTAAATAGTTGTTTCCAGTATAATTCGCCACATAAAGTAAACGCACATGTTGTATGAATTTTAATATCGAAAGCGAAATTACTAAGTTGGATGACATCACATCTAACTCAGAAAAAAACACTTTGGTCCACCAAGGGAAATTTAGGGGGTTTTCAGCAGGAACCTACAAAAGTTAACAGTCTCTACAAAACAGTCTCTGCTTAGACGGCATCTCTTGAGACTTTATGAAACAGTATTTATCTCCAAGATGTTTTTGCCGGGTTTAAAGCACCATAATATAACCTTCTGCCATAGATAATGAAACGTTATTTTGTGCCCAGAAAAAAAATTATAAGCAGCGTATCAACTTCATCCCGATGGCACAGGGAGAACATTGTCAACCGGATTCAATATGCATGCTTCGTCCAGTATTAATCGTCTGGCGCTTGTTTTTCAACAAGTGAGGGTCGTGACTTTAACCACATCCCGGTTAATCATTAGTAATAGGATGTTTAATGCAGCTTTCGAAAGGTGTTACGCATTCAGACTAAAACTGCATGTAATTGCTTAGTTTAATATCAGCGTGTATAACGTATAATCAGTGTGAATCTTTAGTGCGAGCGAAGATTTGTTGTTTTTTTTTGTTATTAAAAAAAAGCAAGATAATTAACCAACCATCAAAAGAGTCGTATTACTTAGCAACAGATGCTACACGTACCTACAATAGACCACCGGGCTCTTCTCCCGTTTGAGTTACTCTTAAACCGACCGGTTGCTAGACCACGCCGTTGAAAGCGTTGCGAAGTCGAGAGCCAATCAAAAGAGCCCGCGAGTGACTCTGCCAATGGAAAATGGCGCCATTGCTCTATGTTACCCAATAATGTAACAGAATCTATGAAGGACCGCCTCATCCTTCTGCGCGTTAGCAAGTGTGGAAGGAAACAGCCACAGCCTAGTCAGGATTCAGGGGCCTGAAGGCGGCTCGCTGATAGGTTGATTATTGGCGTACGTCTGCGTGCGTTACACGCTTTGTTACTGCGTGGTTCCGGAAGACGTGGCGGCCACCGTAACTGCAAGGAACTGGCTGTAGTTGGGTTTCCCTAAACCCCGTGAAAAGTTGCCCATATAGCTAGCTGTTGATCCATCCGTTGTTGGAAAAATGATCTCGTTAACGGACTCTCAGAGTAAGAAAATCTGTTTTTTTTGCGATCGATCTTTTAAAATCTATTTGTTCATGCAAGCGAATAGTTGTGAGTTGGTTTCTGGGGGAAATAGTCAAAAAATGAATGAGATGTTGTTCGGTAATAAGGCCGTGTTGCTTAGTGGTATGTAGTTGTTACATATATAACTATCGATGTTACCTTTAAGTAACTGCCGGTTTATTACAGTGTCTTAAATTTAGATCATTTGTAGTATTCCGAGGCCATTGGCGTTTTCGTGTACTCTGTAGGTTATAATTAAACTGATGGTTTCACTGTAGCTTTTAACAGCCGTTTAGCTAGCTGAAGCGACCTAGCACTTTGACAGCTAGTTAAAGTCCCGAATTCACTGGTGACTATCCATCTAATGTATCTAATTTAAACTTGGGCTTGTATTGTGTATTACATAATTTACCTAGCATGGTTGCGCCACGTTTCTAGTCCAAGCATAATTAAAGTTAGATTTCAAATCTGTGTAAAGAATAGAAAAATATAATGGTTTTAGTGTTAATAAGCAATCCCGAAGCAGAGAAATATAAGTATTAAGTATCACCATCTGTATAGCTGGTTAATTCATCCTACTTGTATTTTTTCAGCGTAAAGTAACTATCTATGTGATATCTGCATAACTGTGATTTGCTATCGAAGTTCTTGCATTTCAGGAATGTAGAGCCTTTGTACAAGGAGTATGGAAATATGGAAACATGCATGGGGCGGAATTCCATCTCATTCCAGCATTCTCGCGGGCCTTCCACTGCACATGCAATACACTGACAATACGTTACTGCACTGACGCCCACGTATAAAGACAGCTATGAGCATGTGTATGCATGCATTTGGACAACGTTTTTATGAAAAAAAAGTTGCACTTCAATGCATTAATTAATGCCTTAAGCTACATCAGCCTGAAGAGATGAGTCCCTTCCTGATGAGTAGATGGGATTCTGCCGTTTCTGCTGGCCTGAGTCTCAGCCAATCCGCGTTCCACCGTACTGATGAGATTTTGATATTTCAGACTGTAAAGTGATCTAATGTGGAAGAACTTTGAAGGGCGGTATGGCTGAATGTCATGGTTACCTTGTGTATCAGTACCAAGGCCTTGCAGTTGATATGACACATAACTGGTAGCCAGTAGTGGGAAAGTAGGAATGGAAAGACATCTGAATCTGTGGCAGAAGGTGATTTTTTTAAAACTGAGGAGGCAAAGTATCAATATTTGGCAGCATAACCAAAAAAACTTTTTCTTTTTTCCTTATTGTAGCCGTTCAGCTGGTTATATGTAATATGTAAATTCTGCTCTCCTTTCATTTTGTATGAAATGATCTATTATCCTCTTATACCAGAATGGCACCTTCTCAAGATTTTTTTCCATGTTAAGCATACAGACAGCTTAGTTTGCTAAAAATCTGCTAAAATCACTGAACTCTCACTTAAAACTATACAAATGATCAAACTGGAAAACTCAATCATAACGACTTTATTTACAATATGTACAAATGCCAAAGGTAAAAGATGAAATGGAAAACAATGAACTTGTCACTCTAGGTTGCAGAGAAACGTTTCTGTGCCCCTGCATTTGACAGACAGACAGAAAGAATGAATACTACAAGCCAACGCCTCAGACCACATGTGAAACTTGTCAGTCGTGAGCATTTACGTTATTGGTAGTTTATCTTGTCTTGTTGAGACGTCTCACAATCACCATGCAGAACACCCTGGCTTCCAAATGGGTCTAAAATATCAGACTGCAAGTCCAATTGACGTTGCCTAAGCAAAAACAATGTGTGAAGCTCCTATAGACTCCAAGTAAAACATGGCATCCCGGTCAGGCTCCGAAAACATGTCGTCGAAGCATATTGACCAATAAGCTTTTATCTATTCTCCATTTAGACAAAGCATACAAGAATTTTCCATAGAATTCCAGTAAAGCACGCCATCAGAGGGTGTCTCTTTATCCTGGCGTCAAAGGGAAAATTAACACGTGTTGAAAGCAATTCCTTTGAAACAATCAGTGTTGTGGTTTAATTAGTAAGATGGTATGATACGTCTTATGGGGGAAGCTGAACGTTTGATGCAGTCTTGGAGCAGTCGCTGATGATCTGAATGTTTTGCAATTTCACAAAGCCAGACACACAAATAGGGATAAAACCTTAAGAGAGTGTTGAGTTATAATTCAGTCTACTTGCCACCTCTGTTTATTTGGCCACTTATATAGGTTTTAGTCAGCTGTAATGTGTTCTCGGGGTGCATATGCATTTATAGACAAGGCCTCATTTTTTCTGATTGTTACTACAGCATTTTATGCTGTTATTGGGGATCCAATGAGAGTGACTTTAGCCCAGGAGCCCCCACCCCACTTCTTCAGCCTTTCACATGCAACATGTTTTAAGAAAATGTTTGTTTGTCTTCTTCACAGAGATTGGCATGGGGTTAACGGGCTTTGGCGTGTTTTTCCTCTTCTTCGGAATGATCTTGTTTTTCGACAAAGCCCTCCTCGCAATAGGAAATGTAAGTAGTTGTGTTTTAATCGAAACAGCTGTGCACTGTCAGAATGACCTTGTTAGTTGTTAGACGTGATGTGTGTAGTAGCTTGTTTGGAGCGAAGCAGGTTACAGATTGGCAGAGCGTGACAAAGTCAAAGCTGTTTGCAGTGGGTTATTGCAAAATAATTTATCCAAAGTTGTATAAATGAAAACATTTCGCATGGAATGTATGTGTATATATAATAGATATTAGACAAATTATTCTCGGAAATCCTAAACACTTATTTAGACAACGATCCTATTTATGCCTTGTCCACACGTACACGGGTATTTTTTAAAACGTACCTTTTTCTATACGTCTTGGGTTTTTGTCCACACGAAAACGGAGCTTTTGCAGAACTCCATCCAGGGTGAAGATTTTAAGAAACTCCGTCTTCAGCGTCGACATATACACAGGGAAGACAGAGTTTTTGCCTCAACGTCAGATTGTGCGCCATTTTCCTCTTTGTTTAACGTCAGAGCGTGCGCTGTTTGCTGTATACATTAGTGGTGTGCGATACTACAAGATTTGGTATCAATTCGATACCAAGTGAATATAGGGCAAGTATCGCCGATACGATACCGATATCGATACTTTTTAATAATTAAGGTGGATGCATCATTAAATTGCTAAAGCTGAATACATTTTCATTACCATTAAATGTTTTTGTGATTTTTTAAAAATTATTATTAATTGGTTAAAACCCAGGGCAGAATTTGGCCAAAGTTTATGAGTAAATAAATATTGTAGCGCGGATCGAGGTACCAGCTTGGAGCGTGGCATGTTGGACTGATGCCAGCTTATAAATAGTTCTCAGTAATCGCTTGTGTGATTATAAATGTGCTGTGTATAGCGGTTAATGTTTATTGGTGTACGTAGTGTGTGTGGATGGGTGCTTGCACCCACCGTGTGTATGAGGAGTAAACGGGGCGATGAGCACAGTGGGCAGTGCCAGTGTATGTGATTGCAGTGCTACGGGTGTAATTAACGGCATCTGGTGATTAAACCCCGAACTGTCTTTGCTGTTTAATTATTGTGAGCATGGCTCAGCAACCCACTATTACAATACTTTATTATAAATATTATATTGTGTGTGTGTGTGTGTGTGTGTGTGTGTGTGTGTGTGTGCCTGGCGCTGCTGAGTCACGTGACAGTCGGGAGCGGCAACAGAGAGCAACAGCGCGAACACAGACAGCCGCAGTGCATCCAGGAGAGAAACTGAAACTGAAGTATCGATCTCATTAAACTGGTATTGATCAATATCAATACCAACATTATTATCGATACTTGGATCGATCCGCCCACCACTAGTATACATTAGGCGAGTTTGAGCAATGGCGGACTTAGCCGAAATAGTGCTTGTGCTAACCTTGCTGACAGGACTTCTTACATGTGTTCAGATAAATGTTGAGTCACTCTTGCATTATATTGATCAACACAGGCGTCGGAATGTGCGCCATGGTTTTCAACTTAACAGGACTGGCAATTAGGCTTCTGATTGGCTAACATGGCAGTACGGTTAGAGTTATAATGCCGCCTGTTGGTTTGGCATGCTCTTGACAGCGCATTTTTGCGGTTTCATGTGGACGGAAATAATTTAGGAGACAATGTTCATGTGGACGGAGATTTTTTTTTTAAACGGAGGAGGAAAAACACCGTTTTAAAAAAAAAAATACCCGTGTATGTGTGGACAAGGCATGAGACTGGTTTCAAAACTGTCACTTGTTGCAGCTCCTAGAGGGAAAAATCTCAATGCCAGTTTGAAAGAACATTTATTTTAACTTTTTCGTTGTGTGTGTGCGTGCGTGCGTGTACGTGTGCCTGCACGTAGATCTTGTTTGTTGCAGGTCTGTCTTTTGTCATCGGCCTGGAGCGAACCTTCAGGTTCTTCTTCCAAAAGCACAAGATGAAGGCCACCGGCTTCTTCCTGGGCGGCGTATTCGTGGTGCTGGTCGGCTGGCCGATGGTGGGCATGGTTCTGGAAGTCTACGGATTCTTCCTCTTATTCAGGTGACTTAATGTGCACCTGGGGTGGCGCCGTTCGAGGTGACCTGAAGTGACGGTGACGCAGTGACCTAACACCCTGGCTCTGCCCCCCCCCCACCTTGTCTCCATCAGGGGCTTCTTCCCAGTGGCTGTAGGTTTCATCCGGAGGGTACCCATTCTAGGGTCCCTGCTTAACCTCCCAGGAATCAGTGGGGTAAGTGTTCCAGCCTTAGAGGTGTCTGAACCAGTCTTTAGGGTATTTAGCCAGTAGGTTTTAATAGCTCCTCCTGTCCCACATGACCAAGAAAAACCAACACGTTCAGCATTAAAGTATATAATGCCCCCCCCAGCCCTCGCCTTGCTCCCCCATTTTGCCAGGCTTCTCTTTCAGCATGCTTTTGTCTGGATCCAGTTGCTGTCAGGTTGCTTTCAGTGAGGTGAATGTGTTTCTGTTGTGTTTTTTTAAGCCTTCCTAAGGCTGTGAAGACCATCTTCTGTCATGGTCAGTCACTGTTCATCTCTTAGCCTTTTTAATTGTTCACATTCATTTCTGGACCCCTCAGCACCGAAGGCTTATGAGGTTTTGGGGGTTTTTTTGTTTTTCTTTGATTTGGTCGGTACATGCTTTACTCCTTGGCCTCCATGTTCCCGTTTTGGTTCCCGTTGCATGCATCACACAGTGCTACATACTCCATAGGAATCTGTAAAGGCTGCAGTCACACTGCAGTGCTTTTTTCCCTCTCATGCTCCAGTCAAACTGGCTTCAGGCTTCTCCACTTGTGCATCGTGTAAGTCACATTGGTGCAGCCTGTAATCAGGCAGGGTGAGCCGGAAAGCCTTTGTCGTCATGTCTGTAAAAGCTGGGCAGTGGCTTGTTTTGTGATTCTCGAGCTGTCCTTCATCGTTCCCCGTCTAGGTGATATTTAGAAAGCGCATACTTTGTTTTTGTCCTGCCCGGTGTAGTGAAAGGTCAGCATTGTCACTAATCACTTCCTCTCTGCTTTCTTCTTCTTTTCAGTTTGTGGATAAAGTCGGGGAGAGCAACAACATGGTATAGCAGTGACCTGTTTTGGTTTGGAGAAAATCAATTTATTAATTTATAATAGATTCCTAATTTTTTTTTTTAAATCCACATCTGGTCGAGTTACCCTCAGACGCTAAGATTGCTCTGTCAAAACTCCTTGGACTCTAATCTGATTAAAGGAAAATAGCCAAGTTTTATTAATTTGTGATTTGATTCGGCATGATCTATGCGATTCACGTCCTGTAGAGGGCGCTGTACTTGACGCCGTTGGGAACTTTAATCAGGAGCCGACGTCGCTCACTGGATTCAAATGGCTGAAACATCACCGGTCACATAATCCGGACATGGAGATCATGGAGCACTTTTTCCCAGAGTAATAATGCTGACCTTTGCCCTGCTGGACACCTTGAGAACATCGAGATGGTTACAATCATACTGTTTCTATGTGGGTTTGCATCTGCGTTAACATTTTATTTGACAAGTTTAAGCACTGTTATATTATTTTTTAAGCCTGGTGTTAACTGTGTTGCAAGCCAAATAGCCCCCCCCCCCCACACACACAGAAGAACTGATGCCATCTCCACTCTGTTCTCAAATATATGGTCTGTAAGATATCATACCGTCACTTAGCTCGAATTTCCACATGGCCTCCAGAGGGAGGTAAGTCAGTAATGCCAACTGTTTGTTTTACTGTATGAAACTTTTGTAAATACAGATTTCAGCTAAAACATTACCGTGTGAGGCTTTGTTTGTTTGTTTGTTTGTTTTAAATACAAGGTGTAAATAAACTGTTGGCCCCGGAGTTATGAGTCATTTCTTGACAAAATCTCCAACTGGATCGAATATTTAATAGTAAATAAAACCATAAGGAAATGATATGGGTCGGCGATGTATTTTTTCTTATATTGGAGAATTTTTGTCAGACCTGTTGATTAGCCTGAAAGGTCTTCCACGGAAATTGTGCTTTGCTAGTGGAATGCAGAGGTTTTCCTCCGCGAGTCCAGCCCTCGTGGCCAGTTTGTCCGCTAACGTCACCGCAGCTGGACGCCGGACCCCAGCTCCTGTGATATCGGCTGTGTCTAATTAAATTGATGTTCCTTTTCTTCCCCATTAACGATGGCCTTTTCGAGTACACTGGAGGAGCAGGAGCGCCCTGAAAAAATTTCTGTCGCAGGGCCATTGACAGGCTGTCAGCAACCGTTTCATTCATAAGAATCGCCATCATTAAATTCTACACATTATATATTATGTACTATCCGAGAATGCGGTCATATTTTCCGTCACATTTGTCAAAAAAGCACAAATCAATAGACCTGTTGTACGACTTGTTGATTAATATGCTATGTTAAAGCCAGTGTGTCTTATTGGTGAATCTGAAGCAATTTATTTTGTACTTTTAACCACGTCTAGTTAATTTAACTCTGTTAAGTGTGACGTTTGCGTTAAAATTACGCACACGGCGCAAATGCGTTAAACGCGATAGGCCCATATTTCTGTATTGTAGCCTATATGTATGTGTGCATAGGATCGCGCAGGTTAAATACTGTTTATTGAGCGGAACGAGCTTTCGGAGGTGTAAGTCACATTATCCCGTTCAATCAACTTCTGACCGGTCGACACTGACAATTCCCCCAGGAAAAGGAGCGCGCGCCTTAAGCCCCCGGGTGTGACAGGGGGTTTATGCGGGATTCCTCCACCCCAGCGCTTATAAAGGGCAGAGGAGCCGAAGTCAACGCCACTCAACCTGACTCTCGGTTTCACTGAACGCTAACAGGCGAGAGAATTATCAAAAATGAAGGTAAGGTGCAGATTTCTGTTTTTAAGACTCCGAAGCTATAGAAATTGGAGGTGCACCTTTTTTAAAACATAATTTAATAATTTGTTTAAATTATGTAATATTTAAATGAAAACGAACTTACAAGTGCTAAAACAAAGGCATAGCTTAAAAATAATGTACATGCGCACGACATTTGCCTATTTACTACATTAAAAATGGTTAGGACTTTATTCAGAATGTGTGGCAGGTATTTATTATTTGTTTGATTGTTAGTTTGAGAATAATAAATATTATAATTATCAGTAGAAATATGGCACACTGGAGGCCAATATCTTTTAGAAGAGTACTTTTCCAATTTGCGTTTTTACGCACGTCATGCGCAAGGCACAGCTTTTTATTAATCTCAGAATTAAGCTTTGGTGTGTTGCTGCGTTTTGCAAGAAAGTAACCAGAAGTACTTCTCTGTGCCCATGAGCAGAGTTTGAAGACGCATAAATCTCACGTCTTGGCGTTGCTGCTAGTAGCGACTCTCGTTTCTCATTCTTGGAGCGCGCCAAAGGTAATTAACCTGTTTTTTTTTCTTTAAAATGTTGCTTAAATTATAGGCTACACCTCATTTTTTTTCCAGGAATCTATGGAATTACCACTGTGTCAAAATTTATGCACAATCCGTTGAACGGCTCTTACTTTTTCCAACTTTTTTTTAATCAAAGGATGGTTTTCAACGAAGAAACTGGACGCCGCAGGCTATGCTGTATCTTAAAGGAACACGTGAGATCAAACTCCCTTTATTGCGAATGTTTTCTACTGATGTATATGTTTTGACCTCAGAATAAAATTATTCATTATGTGTAAAGTAAGTCAATTCAAATAACACTTCGTGTCCTAATTAAACATCTCGATTAAACGTCAACTGAGTAACTGAATAAATAAATCGCTATCGATTGATCCTTAATATCGTGTAAATATATATTTACACTTAATAAGTGTAAATATCGATATTGTTTTTAGTGACTGAAATCTCATGCTATTTCAGAGGGACGTCGTTTCATATCTGAAGACAGAAATGAAGGGGACGTGTATGATACAGTCCATCTAGGTAGTCAATCGTATCTGTTTTTATTTAAAAATGAAATTTCAACAGCGCCCTTAAATATTGAAAGATCGTTGTTTTAGAAGATCTCGCTGTTTAGTTATTGCCTTAACAGACGCAAAGCTGCGGTAGCCTGTATAAGTCAGGGGACGTAGCCTACCGGTTTTATTAGCGTCGATATGAGGCACTACTGCACTTACTGTGAATATTAGTGTAAAATACTTCATATGCAAATTCATTTCTCACAAAGACAACGTAGATTATTCCAGTGTATTGGACGCGTTTGCACGGAGGCAAGTTTGAAAAGTGATTGTGCCGTAGCGATTTTTCTTCCTGAATCTTACTGGTAAGCATGTAACTTGCACCACATTAATATCATTGTCCTTTCGGTGTAATGCCAGTCCATCAGTGGGTACACACTCTGGGCCTGTACGCCGGGCAGAACTCGGGTTAAAAAATCGGCCTTGGACTTTGGGGTCCCCTACGGTAAATTCTGCAGAGTGGGGTAGTCCCTCACGATAAATGTTGCTGTCTGCACCAGCCCATCAGGAAAAGTTCAGGTGACCTTTGTTAACTATACAGTATGCACTGTATGAAACACAATATGTAAATTAAACATAGTGAAAGCCACATCTTAGGAGATGTAAGGCAGTAGTTGCACATTTGAAGAACAGATCAGTTTGTGGAGTTACTTGGTGATTGTGTCTTTAAGCAAATTACATTAATAGCATGTCCAACCCGATTTTCTCTCGCGCAGAGACACGCAGCCAGAAGGCAGAGCAGCTTAGTGTGTCTCGGGCCGCAGCCGTGCTCCTGAACTTCCTCCAACAGGCCAAGGAAGAAGGTGAGAGCCTGAGTCCACCAGTAAGGAGGGATGCAACCTAAAGCAAGTCATTTAAACTTTTGTGGCTGGAAAAATTCATGTCGCAGATATATATCATGAGTTCTGTCAGATGGGTTCAAATTCAAGAAGAAAACTGAGGAATCTCACTGAACATTTTCCATCCACAAAATATTACCTATAATATTTTCTGGCAGAACGCTTGATTGTCCTTCTGGAGTGTTGAATTCCGCATCAATTAGGAACAGCTGGAAGACCGAATCTATATTCAATTCAATTCAATTCAAGTGGAGGAGTTTAAGTATCTCGGGGTCTTTTTCACGAGTGGGGGAACGATGGAGTGGGAGATCGACAGGTGGATCGGTACGGCATCTACAGTGATGCGGGCGCTGCATCGGTCTGTCATGGTGAAGAAGGAGCTGAGCCAAAAGGCAAAGCTCTCGATTTACCAGTCGATCTACGTTCCTACCCTCACCTATGGTCACGAGCTGTGGGTAGTGACCGAAAGAACGAGATCGCGAGTGCAAGCGGCCGAAATGAGTTTCCTCCGCAGGGTGGCTGGGCTCTCCCTTAGAGATAGGGTGAGGAGCTCGGTCATTCGGGAGGGACTCAGTAGAGCCGCTACTCCTCCAAATTGAGAGGAGCCAGATGAGGTGGCTCGGGCATCTGCTTAGGATGCCTCCTGGACACCTCCCTGGTGAGGTGTTCCGGGCATGTCCCACTGGGAGGAGGCCCCGGGAAAGACCCAGGACACGCTGGAGGGACTATGTCTCTCGGCTGGCCTGGGAACGCCTCGGGATTCCCCCAGAGGAGCTGGATGAAGTGGCCGGGGAGAGGGAAGTCTGGGTTTCCCTGCTGAGACTGCTGCCCCCGCGACCCGACCTCGGATAAGCGGGAGATAATGGATGGATGGATGGATTCAATTCAAATAACTTTATTTGTCCCCGAGGGGCAATTAAAGGCACACAGGGCAGCTGAAGAAGGACAGGACACAATGACATAAAGTGCAACAGTGTTTGAAGGATGCTGTGCAAAATTGCAGTCAATCAGGTGGATAAGAATTGATAAATATGTAAAGGGAGGGATTGTTAGTGGGCATGGGGGGGGGCTCAAGTGCAGAATGACTGATGGGTTTCAGTGCAGGGAGGGGGGGAGGGAGACGTATGTATGAAGGACAAACAGAGGCTGTTAAATTCAAATTATTTTCTCATTGATTTATTCTGCTTTTGGAAACTGCATTGATGTCATTTTTATCTGCTCAATTTTCTTTTTCTTTAGCAGAAGAAAACGCTGATCAAGTTTACTTCCAAGATCTTACACCATGGAAACGAGATTATTTCTGATAGGTCGTTCATGAATTTATCTTTGCCAGATGAACATGTTTTATTTTGTTTCTATTCTGTAGAGGAAATACTGAATTCTGTACACAGTTTTGACTCAGTGTTTTGAATGTACTGTTAATTAAATGAAGTTTGCATTCGATTTGATACTTTGTTGTACTACATGTTGTTCCATTAAAAATCACTAGGGGGCACACAATCTGTGCAACACAGAAATTAATTAGGGTGATTATAGAAAATAAAGTTCACAATCAAAAGTTTTGAAACTTAATTTTAAAGAAAATGGCATTTCTCAACAATCTAAGAATATTGTATGTAGTTCAAAAAGAATAAACTACGTAAAATTTGTCATAGATCTACTCGTATTTTAATTAACTGAAACCTGGAATAATGCCGTTATATCTGTCACCTTAAAAACAAACATCCAGCAGACCAAAAGGTAAAAGTACCATTACTGTATGTTGAATATGGGGACCTCAGGTAGCAAAATCTGTTAAGACTGCTGAATAAATCATGTCAAGGATGCGATAACAAAGGATGCAGTCTGACGGGTGATTCCGTGTCTAAGCCGAGCAAATTCACCTATAAAACACCATTTTGGTAAATAGAACTGACTACAGGCTTATTATTGCCATCCAAAAGAAATCTAGCAAAGGTTACAATCGGCAGCACGTTGACGGGCGAATTAAAATGAATATTTATGTAAGGAAAAGTCCTCTATTTCTTTGCTGCTGTTCCTTTCATTTATCCCAGTTTTATACCTGTTACTGAAAACCCATTTCTTATAGCATTTGGAATATTTTTAATAGATACATGCCGGGTAATATGCAGCTTTACCATGTCATTTTCAGGCTTTAATCCATTTATGCAACAGCTGATAGGAAGACATGACAACTTTTCACACCGTGTCAGAACCGTGGGCAAGTGGGGGTCAATGGTTTAATTACGTGGCAGATACGACACACACACACACACACATATATATATATATATATATATATATATATATATACACACACACACACACACAGACAGTTTATAGCTGTTGGGCTAAGTTTACCAGTGGCTTGACTTTTTGGGTTGTTTTATTTTTTTGGAGGGAGATCAAATCGGGACCAAAATTCTCGAGGCTCGGCTTTCAAGACTCAAGACTGATCGGATCTAATGACACCCATGTATGTATATATACACACACACACGCACACACATGCTCATAGCTGTACAACTGGGAAACTACCATCCCGTCTTTTCATTCCAGATGCAAGGTGTCTTTACTTAAAGTTTGCTGTTGAGCACGGATCAGATCTTTACACGCAATTGTACTCATCTGGTTCAGCTGCTGAGGTTTATTGATTCCCGGCAGTGGTACCACTCTCATTGTCGTGTTTTTTTTAAGCACTGCTTCAAACATTTACTCCTGATGCATCGTGGGTCTGTTGCCTTGTAGTTTTTAGCCTTGAAAAAATTCTGGATGCTTGAGCTTTAACACAAGAATATTCGTTCTGCTTTCAGCATACGAAGCCTAAGGGTGAAGCTCACGCTGTCTGGGGGGGAGGTGGTGGGGGGGGGCGGCTCTGCCAGGAGCAGCATTAACCCGGTAGCTTCTTCTTGCCAGAAGGTACTGTCTCCAGAGAGAAGGGAGCCTTGATGTTCTGGCGATCTCGCTCAGCTTCCTCTTCCTCGTCATATGGCTCCTCATCTTCCTCGTCGCTATGATGCGGAGTGGAGTGCAGGGAGGCAGATGGAGAGGGGGGTACCGAGGAAGGTCGCGGGTAGCGAAATCCATCCGTCTGCAGAGATATACCAATGGTGACCCCTGACTGATGAAGCAGGCCAGGCAAACCAGACAGGCACACGTACTTCACACAGCATTGTTTTCTACATTTTAAAACACTATAATTGATACTTTATTGATCCCCTTGACGAAATTCTCTTTACGCCTCCCCCAACTTGCTCTCTGTAGGGGACAGTGAGCTGGACACAATCCAGTGGTCATCAAATCATCACTAGTGAACTACTTGTAGCTAACAGGGAGCCAATTGTGTTTTTTTCAGTTCCTGGTGGAGATTTCAGGTCCAGAGAGTACAAATCCAGACCGAGATTTTGTTTCAACTATCCGGTTCAGTACTCTGTGACTGTGACTCTGTATGCTCAACTGGTTGGTTGAAACAAAATCTTGGTCTGGATTTGTATTCTCTGGACCTGAAATCTCCATCTCTGCTTAAAATGCCATAATATGTGTACATTATGGCACCACAGGTAATCTCACTCTGTCTTGGACGCTGAGAACTTTTACCAAGCCGCTGTTCCTGGTGGACAAATTTTTCTGTGGCCGATCCCACAACTGCCATGGAAGGTTTTAGTGATTTGGAGACCGCAGGCAAAGACTCACAATTATAGGTCCTGCACAAAAACTGAACAAAAACTGCAGGCAGCTCATCTCAGTTAACGAAGCCACAGAACTAAAGGACAGACCCAAGTGAGAACTGTTCTAAATGAAGAACTTCAAATGACCTTCACTCAGTTAGAAGACAATATGGCAAGAAAAAGATTATAACTATATAATCTTTAATTCCTTCAAGATTAAAGTGTAGGACATACTTTTTGATAAAGGCATTCATTTTAAACAGAGCCAGTATTAGTGCAAAAAGAAACTAATTTACCCGTCACTGTGTTGATCCTTGCATGGCCAATGTAGTCAAACAGCTACGTTTTCGGTTGTTTCAGTGTGGATGGAAATATTTTAACTAAACTATGTGAAAACGCCTGTGTGGATGGAGATTGTTTTCATTTGAATACTTTACATTGATTAATTCTTTTTTTTTATCTATGACACATTATTATTTGTTTGGAGTGACAAGACAAGAAAGGAAAATTGTGTTATAAATTTAAAAAAGGATAGATCCCATATTACTTTCTTAATAGAAGTAGGTTTCACTGCAAATACACTTGGAGACCCCTACGATAATCATTTCAGCAGCCCCACTCTGGAACACAATTCCATGAATTGGGATGTAAGAGTTTCAGGATCTTACAGTGTGACTCGGCTCCTAAGCAACCAGCATGGTCAAAAAACACTTCAAAGTGTGAACCAGAACAAACAAGCTGTCGGAGTTCAGCAAAATGTTAATCTGTCAATTAAGGGCAGAGAAAACGGTTCGAGCCTGACAGGGCTTTGTCTGCCCTCGCGTCCACTTTGGATAACGAATGAGAGGAAAAGACGATCACCCCCCCCCACGACCCCCAACCGCATACCCTCATTGATTGTACAGTATCTGTGATCCAATCAGGAGAGCAGGTCTCATGGTCACGACTCAAACTGTGTGTGTGTGTGTCACAGTTAATCAAATTCTGTTTTATTCAATATTCCTTAGGTTTGCTATTTCTTTAGCAACATAATTCTTACATGTAATAAAGTATTTTTATGGGAGAGAGCAATGGAGTATTCCATAATTTTAACAGAGTAGCCATCAATGTTTTTCAAATTAAAAACCAAAAAAAAAACCCACTTGGATTTTATTGCTGAATCTTTTGAAATGTAGAATATGTTATGTTGTTTTCTTGTTCAATACCTTGGATATTTTATATAATAGATCTATAAAACAGACTTTAATGTTCAGTTGTTTATATGTCAAACAAAAGTTTGTCTTAGTTTGTCTTTGGCATCGATATTGTGTCGTTTATTGGCCAGGTTTTGTGAAACTTGTTCATCTGCACTTAACTAAGATCCCTTGTTGAAGGGCACAGGCTAGACATTACACACACGGTCAGAGTGTTCAGAGAGACCGCAGTTACAGTGCAGTTAGGCTGAGGTCAGACTTACGCGCAGTGGTGCTGCTGTGTCCATCTTGAACTTATCTGGGAATGTTCTGCTCAGGGCAAGATGGCGCGCGTGCATGTAAAACTTCAAAGACAGCAAGGCAGCGGGTCAGTACTGATCCTCGTTTGACACATAAGAGCGCAGTACAGACACTCACATCCGCTCTACACAGTAAGCAAGTGCTGATGCTCATCCAATACTCAGAAATAGCAGAACTCTCATCCAGTCACACACCAGGCGAGCACCAATAATCTGAGATAGTATCAGTATTCAAACTACCCCTGACCAAGCGGCAGTATAGATGTTTCGCTCCCGTGCATGAAATCAAGCCCATAAGCAGATGCACCTATTAAGAGTTTGAGATAGAGGTACATTATGTACATCACAAGAACTTTACAGATAGAAATAGGAGTTTCATATGAATATTGTAATTATCAGACTGGGACAGGCATGGATTTCCTGATGAAGTCAGATGACCAGTCCCATCTCACCTGAAATAAGTTACCATGATATAAAACTCATTCTCCCACCACATCTTCAGCTTTGTGTCCCCTTACTACTCTACTCCAAGCCTAACGTCTTGTTTCCCCCTCCTGTTTCCCCTTCCTTGAGCTGAAGCAAATCTTAGAGACAGGAACATACCCAGATGCATTATGGGTAGTACAGATTAGTGAGGGAAAAAACAGGTACGACTCCTCACCCGCCCGAGGTACCTCCAGTCCAGCAGGTCCGAAAGCCTCTCGGTGCGGTTCCGCTGGATGATGCGCTGCCTTCTTGACTGCTGGCAGAACCCGAACATGAACTGGGTCAGCTGGTTACAGGACTCGTCCGCCGAGCGGAACCGGCGGTCCACGATGTAGATCCCTGAGAGAGCAGGGCGAGGAGTTTCAGGGGTGAGATGGGGACCGGACAAGCTAAGGCCGCAGCGGCACTGCTGGGGTCTCACTTGTGGGGGACTGAACTGCACAGCTGCAGCTTTACCAACCGTAAGCCGCAGGGTCCGTGACGTGCTCCTCCATGAAGCAGCCGAAGCCCGAGAGGTTGGTGGTCACACTGGGAATCCCCATCACAGTGCATTCGCCTGGGGGGGAAGTTCATCAGGCACCACAGAACAACACTGACATCCTGCATTCTTCCACATCGTCATAATACTGCTTATTCTATTAATTCTTCACCTGAAAGGAACTGAAAGGCCTCTCTCACCTTCTGAAACGGAGCCGTGTAATGTGTACGATAAGGAGCACCTTCTCAGACCACCGGATTCTGTACTCATATACAGTACCAGTCAAAAACTCTGGACACACCTGCTTTTAATGCATTTGTCTCTATTTTAGCTATGTTACTCACCTTATAGTAAAAGGCCTTGAGGCAATGAAGTTATACATATCAAATACTGCAATGACAAGAGAAGTGATCAACATCTCAAAATGTGCTCAGATTTTAGACTGAAAATAGCCCCTTTGGCTTCGGATGACAGCATCGCAGACTCCCACTGTTCTTTCAACCAGCTCCCAGATGTAGCCCCCTGGAATGCTTCTCCAGCAGTCCTGAAGGAGTCTCCACAAGTTCTGGGCACACGTTGGTTACCTTGCTCTGACTCATCAATCAAACTTATCCCAAACCAGCTCTATAGGGTTTAGATCGGGGGGGACTCATCTCATTAACTTGTTGAAAAACAAATGATTTTCAGCAGATGCGTCCAGACTTTTGATCATTACTGTAAATAAAAGCCCTTGTAGGCTGGCAAGTTGTCAGTACAGTTTTCGGTTATTAATGAGATTACCAATGAGAACAATCAGCTTCAGTATTGTGATCTTACCTTCTTAAAAACACATACACACACTCATCTTTCCCTCATAAAAGCATCATATGCTCTATAACCACCACAGGAGTTTAGTTCAGACTCCTCTGTCATCTTTTGGATATTTCCATTTTTCTTCGATCCATCTTCCAAATGTGGATCCTGGTCACAATTGGAACTTCTATTCTTAATGCTCCATAAAATTGACTGTATCACCAATTTATGATGCCATTTTTTATTTTTTTTTTAAACCTTTACAAAATGGTTTGGGGCAACTATGTTATGGGAAGCACAATTTAAAAAGAAACTGACCTAAAATAAACTGAAAATTGAAAGGATTAAGGATGCATGACCAGGCAAAGAGGATCAGTCGGGATATAAAAAGAGAATTTAAGCGTATAGTGTTTCTCCACTAGGCTGGGTGTGTGTCACCTTGTATCAGACGTCACAGACAGAGAGGAACAGCATGTTCTTACCTGGCGTGTAGCCCCAGGGCTCATAGTAGGAAGGAAACACGCCAAGATGGCACCCCCGCACAAACTCCTCATAGTCCATAGGGAGGAGGGGGCTTGTGGAGGACAGGAACTCTGGATGGAACACTACCTGAGGCCGGAGAGCAAGTCAGCACTGAGCACAGTGGACAAAGGGAGCTGAACACTATTCAACATTGCCTGAGGACAAAGACCAAGACTGGACTGAACATAGTGGACAAAAAGAGCTGAATGCTGTGGTACATTATCTCAGTAAGAGACAGACAGCACTGAACACAGTGGACAAAGGGAGCTGAACACTATTCAACATTGCCTGAGGACAGAGACCAAGACTGGACTGAACATAGTGGACAAAAAGAGCTGAACATGATTTAACATTGCCCGAGGGCAGAGGTCGATGTAAGATTGAGTACAAAGGATAAACTGAGCTGCACACTGTAGAAAATTATGTCAGGGCAGAGACCAAGACAGCACTGAACACAGTAGATAAAAACAGCTGAACACTATAGAACATTATCTCAGAACGGAGATGGAGACAGGACTGAGTGACAAAAATAGCAGAACACTATTAAACATTGTCTGAAGACCAAGACAGGACTGATCACCATCCATTCATCCATCCATCCATCCATTTTCAGAAATCTCTTGCCCTATTCAGGGTCACTGGGGGTTCAGAGCCTATTCCGAAGGCTACAGACGCAAGTCAGGGAACAACCCAGAATCGGATGTGTTACAACACATTATCTAATAATGCCACATTATGTAATGACTTGACAAAATGTAACAAATTTTCATCACATAATGTGATGGTGTCACAACTCAACAAAATGTTATAAATTCCCAGAGTACATTATCATTTTATATTGCAACATTACCCTAATATTACTATCATTATAGTTATCACCGTTATTATTATCATCATTCAATTTGTTCATCATTCATTCAGTTGAACTATTAGATAATGTGAAATTATTAGATCGTGTGTTTTTACAGGGTACCAACCCACCGCGGGACACACTAACACACCAGTCAGGACTGAACACGGTGGGAAAAAAAGAGATAAACACCATGAAACATTATTTGAGGACAGAGACAGAGACAAGACTAAACACAGTGGATAAAGAAGGATAGACAGTGTGAAACATCTGAGGACAGACTGGGAGTGGACAAAGGGAGCAGAGGACTGATCTTTTCTAATCGTTCAGGTTGGTCCTCAAGATCTGTAAGATCTTCAAAATAAATCTTAGACACATGGCTGTCAACCTGACGCTGGCCAGACGTCTGTGAGGTTCCAGCTGGGGATGACGTCGTCATGAAAAGGAAACTGGGAAGCACGGGATAGTGAAGCTTTCCTGCCTCTGCTTCCACGTGATAGATGTTAGGAAAGGTCACTATGACAACGTGTCCTTTGGAAAAAAAAATGAGGGAGCGCCCGATCTGGCAGGTTTCAGACAGGCCTTAAAACAGGACGACGGCCTACAGATCTGCGACGGGAAAAGGGGCGGCTACGAATGGGCTGGCTCACCTTGACGCGGTCGGTGCGGCAGTTAAAGAGGCCGATGCGTCGGACGTTGGACAGTATCGGGTCCGAGCCGTCATCCAGCATGTTGTGGGTCGTCACTGGGGGGAGGCCATGTCTCTGGGGTGGAACAGGGCAGCATGCATCTGTGAGTGTGTGTGCGTGTGCATGCAGGACAGAGCATGAAGCACTTCATAAAATTCAATTCAGTTTTATATAGAGCCTGTTAAAATGCAGTCACTCCATGGAACCTGATACATGGAACCTGATAAGAGTGTGAGACAATAGGACACAATTTTTTCACAAAATTGTGCATGAAAAGGGGAAAAGTGAAAGAAAGAAAGAAAGAAAGAAAGAAAGGATACCAGAAAGATGAGAGAGGAACCAAAAACTCCAAAGAAGGGAGATAAAGAACCTTCGGAGTTCGAAGATCAACTGGCCAGTTCTCCAAGCATGTCTGTGTAAACTGCCAGATGGTTGGCCGTACTTGAAGATGTGGTGTGTCTGCATGTTACGGTGTGGTGTGACTATGTGTGTATGTGTGCATTTCAGGGAGCTTACATGTGTGCAGGTGAATCACCGTGTATATTGGAGTTTGTGCAAACAAGAGTGAGCATGTATATACACAAGGAAATGTAACAGTTTTACTGTTGTCTATTTATTATTACTATCTACCAATATATTTTAATGTCTTTTTACTGTCTAAATGTGTATAGAGCTACTCTGCCCTAAAAAGGCAAAATACAATAACTATGCTGACACTGAGAAAAAGGGCTTCAAATATTTTTGACTATTGACCTATATGTGTAGATGGTAGGTAAATGGTAGTGTTTTCTGCAAAACTGAGCATGGCTGGACTAAGATGTTTGGGCATGAGATAAAACTATCTCTATCTATCTATCTATCTATCTATCTATCTATCTATCTATCTATCTATCTATCTATCTATCTATCCATCCATCCATCGTAATCTAACTAGTCAAGGAAATCAACAAGTCAAACATTTCAGTGTCAGTTTAAAGTTGATGGTATTCCTAAGCAACTGCCCCGCAACACAAAACAGAGACACTATCTTCAGAGGAATGTTGCAGCCAGCACAGTGACCACTGTTCAAGAAACGGGAGCTAACAGAGTGAAAGCCCGCTAGCCCAGCAGCCGTGCGGGTGAAGGAAAGTCACGTCAGACGTAGCTGGAAACAGAGGCAGAGGTCTGCAGTAGGCATCTCAGCGTGAACGTGAATCGCTTCTTCTCGGGTTCTCTGAAAGGCCGGGTCCTGATTTGTGTCCCAGGCCGGAGCTGATGACAGGCACCCGTAACGGTTCATTACATCAGACACCCACGGACTGAGGCGGGAACGGGGCGTCTTCTCGCGAGCGGTCGATACCTCTTACGCTTCTGCGTCTGAAACGCTGACGCTGAAATAAATCTCAATGAAAACAAGAACACCATGGGCACTGCGTCCTGGCGTGGGTGTCACTGGAGCGAGACACACCTGGGCCCTCTGACCAGCCCGTTGGCATGCAGAAGGGGTTGGGCATTTTACCAACCAAGCGGGGCCATGACCTCACTCTGACCTTCCTGTGACCTTTGGGTGTTATTTTGGTTCATAAGGTTCTGCACGGCGAGCAGACGGCAGCCTGACTTTTTCTTTCAAGCCCAATATCTTCTTCTCACTGGTCGCTTCTTCTCCTTTGCTGGTTGACGGCGGGTCCTTCCTACCTGAGTGGCATATATGGCCCTCTTCATGATGGTGACGTCGTCCCTGTCCAGGATGGTATTCATGTCTGGGATCTCTCCTCTGAGCAAGAAACACAAGGAGTGATGAGAAGAAACGTGAGAGCACCACCCCCGTGTCCATCTCCAGCCCATACCAGCCTGGGGTCTTGCCAGAACTAATCCATAAACACTCCAATCTGATTACCCCTTTAATCACACAAAGGTCACATCAGCGCTCTGACAGTTAGAGTGATAGCCCCTCCCCCCTCCTGAAGACACTGGCCAGGAAGAAAGTGGGGGGGTTTTTTCACTCCAGTATGTCGGAAACATGAGGAAAGTACTGTAGACCCCATAACCACACGGGAGACGGGAGGAGACCTAGCAAGGCATGATGTGTTAGATATAAATTACTTACTTCAACAGAGCTTCATACAAGCGCTTGCCAAACTTCTCCTTTACCTGGTGAGCAGTGTCCCTACCAAAGAGAGGCAGGTGGTGGGGGGGGGGGTCGTCAGAGGTCACTTGATAAATGCATAGAGTATCACACAGCCCACCTGACTCACTGACTGCATCGCATCATAATCATTCCCTATTTCTGTTTGGTTTGTACTTGCAGAAATCTTTCAACTAGGTTATAGTTTTTTAAATATTCTTCTATATCCACCTGAGATCCAAAGAAAAAAAAAATTATTTGACAGGACACATCCCCATACATGAGATGTCATCTTAAAGCCCTAACTGTCCATTGTAAGGAGCAATAGGAGAGTGGCAAGTATGGTATGAAAAATATGAGCAAGGTCTTGATACATCTTGATATTACTGTGAAACATTCTATAAAAATAATTGAAGGTTAAGACCATATTTTCAAAAACCTAAACATGTATAAACGTGCACAGGTCTCCTTAAACAGTGCATCCATGTATCCATGCATGCAGGAGGGGGGTGAGTACTGAGGTTACAATTTAGCTTAATTAGGGTTAGCATAGCTAGCATTAGCCATTTACCAGAGCTGTTTCCGGACCGCCTGCCCCTTCAGCGATTCCACGTTGAAGTTGTTGGTTTTAGCCGGCATGATGAAGAAAACCACCACCGTCACATCGTTCTTGTGCACCTGAGAGAGGCACACAGCAGACAGGAGAGAGAAATGTCTCCCAAGGATATGACAACAAGTAGATATGAACACAAAGACTACGGTCTCCTGCTGCTCCCCTGTCATGTGGAGATCGTTCAGGACTACAAGTACCTCGGCATCCACCTGGACAATAAGCTGGACTGGTCAAAGCATTCACTGGCCACCTACAAGAAGGGTCAAAGTAGGATGTACTTCCTATGGAGACTCAGGTCTTTTATGCAACACTAGGCTGCGGATGTTTTATGAGTCTGTGGTGGCCGGCGCCATTTTCTTCTCTGTAGCAAGCTGGGGTGGCAGCATGAAAGTGGCAGAGGCCAAGAGGCTCAACAAGCTTATCAGGAAAGCGGCTTCTGTAGTGGGTGAGGAACTCGACAGCTTGGAAATGGTGGCTGAACGGAGAATATTGTTCAGACTTCAGTCCATCATGGACAATGCTGATCAACCGCTCCACAGTGTGGTGGCTGATCAGAGAAGCACTTTTACAGTAGCTACAGGCTGACTAGCATTAAGTGCTCCACTGACCGCCACAGAAGATCATTCCTACCTACAGCCATCAGACTCTATAACTCGTCACACTGATCTCACACCCAGCCTCAGACGTTAGAATAAACCCATACTTTAGCCTGTGCAATAAACCTGCTGCTATTCAGATGTGCAATATTCATCTTGTAATTTACCTTTATTACTACACTTAACAGTATTTATTCTATTTATATATATTGTATTTCTGTTTCTCATGTATATATCATGGTGTATATAGCGCATAGTCTCTCTTTTATAATTTTATTTCAGTTTCTTATAGTTATATCTGATCTTCTTTTTTTATGTTCTTGTCTTGTGTCTCTGTGTGACCGTTTAGTAGTAACATGAGCAATTTCCTCCGGGATCAATAAAGTTTTTCTGATTCTGATTCTGATTCTGAAAACAACATCACGCATCTGGGCTGCGCGTGGCAAAGAGGGCTGCGTAGATACCCAGTGACACCAGAGGAAGGTCCATGCTGGCCAGGCCTCCAGTACTGGAGTGTGGGCCCCCTGTGGAATCTCCCCATGTGGGGACAGCCATGAGGATAGTAACCAATGAAGTACTGACCCCACAAGGGCCTGTGGTGACCTTCTTGCAAGGAGACCACCCTTAAAAAGCTTGACCTGCTGAGATGACCCAAACTTCTTTCTTAAGTTTAATCTATTCTTGAGAGGAATTTCTTTTCTACTGTAGTTTGAAGATAGACTCAAAGGATGGTAACTAGGTGTATAGGATACCCAGAATTCTGCTTGGATGTTTGTCCACATAGATGTGGGTATATGCAGGTAAAACCCCTAGTAGAGACTTCCGGCTGAGCTGGACTCTCCATGCATGGATTAAACTAGGAACTCTTACTCTGAGCAGGTAGTTGAGCCTGGATAGAGACTCCAGGAATATGTCAGCTCCCTTGTTGGTGAACTCGTATCGCCCGGCGATGAAGAAGAACAGTGTTTTTTCGAGATTGAAGTCAAGATGGCTGCCAGGAGGAGAGAGAGTGACATTCAGGGCAAAACAAAATCAAACCACCAATCATATACTCAAATAGAGACTTTGGACAGGCCCTAATGAATGAGTATGTAACAAAACAGAAAGATATAATTTGTCCCAGAATTTTTTTCCATTTAGTAGAACAAGTCAAACCAACTTTCCTGATTTTTTACAGCATGTCTGTAACTATGGACAATCCCATGAACTTTAACTTAAAATTAAAAGCTTGAAGTGTGACCTGTGTAAATGACAGCAGTGAGTAAGCACCCGAAGGCCTTGTACGGCTGAACACCTACACCGTGGAGAGCTTTGTCATGCTTCTAAGCGGACCAGACAACAAATGGAATGGGCCACAAGAAAACCGCAAGCAAGATCAATAAGTCGTTAAAGAAAAAGTATTTATGTCTGATATAATTCAGTCTACATACTACTCCATAAAGCTTAATGTCACTTCAGAACCATATTATGGCAGCCTTGTTGATTGAGGTATAAAACGGATTTGGGCTGAACGGCTGGGCTCACCCATAAAAATGCCCCCGGACAAACTCTTGAATCTTGGCTTTGTTTATGGAATGAAGGTTCTGGAACTCATGCATGGCTGAGAACTTTTTAACATTCAGTCCATTCGGGGTCACCATATCTGCACAGAAAATGGAGTAAATACAAAAAAAAGTATTTACTAGGCTTTGAGATTTGCTAAAAGAAAGACGTTGTTGTCTATCCATGACTAGGAGGAACAACAAAGGGTCATCTTCACCAGGGAAGGGAGGAAGTACCAGTCAATGCACTGTGCACTGGCGACAGAAAGAAGGAGACTGACAAGTGATTATGACAGGAAGTCCTGCCCCCCCGCCACCTCCAGGTCCCACCTGGCTTCCTGTGGAGCATGTGGTCAGCCTCCACGGCAGTGATCTGCGAGACGGTGGTGAAGACATGTGAGCAGTGAACAGCAGCTCGCTCCAAACAGTACCGATGGTAGATCTGCCTCTCGCCGGCCTCCTTATCGATGTTGAACTGCGATGAATTAACATACAACACACACACGCACACACACACACACACACAGAAAAACACAATTTAAGCAACTATAAAAAAACAATTACATGAGCACATAAAGTAGCTGCATACATTCTACATTGATCTTGTGTTAGTGCTACCACCATCAGCCTGCACACACACACACACACACACACACACACACACACACAGAGTTCATATATTCCTATCATGTGGAAAGTCCTTAACCCTAACTATGATAACCCTAACCCAAACCCAACCTTATTTAGTCCTCACAATGTGGTAAATACTAACCCTCACACATGCACTCGCACACACAAAGTACACACACACTCACACACACACACTATTTCCAATGCCAGTCTTTTGAGAGCTGCATTTTCACAATATGACAGCTGTCAATCACAGCTGACCTTTCCACCGAGCCTTATTACTCTCTCTCTCTCTCTCTCTCACACACACACACACACACATCTCTCTCACGCACACACACCTTGTCCAGGTTGTTGTAGAAATCTACATTCCCAGCACACAGGTATCGGCCCAGCAGAGTAGCATGTGTCGTAAAGATGGTCGCCAAGGGAAGCTTCCGTGAGCGACAGAGTACGAGCCCCGCTCCAGCCTGCCACTCGTGGAAGTGTGCGATGACATTGGGCATGTCTTGGAACCCGTCTGTTAGCTGACAGGTGCATCAGGCAAGTTCAACAAACCAACGCACGTCAAGACACTGTGACATTTACCAATACACCCAATAGATATAGATAAACATGTCACAAAAGTTACATTACTGGAAGAAAAACTAACTAGTAAATAAGTTCACAGCCAAAGCTATGAGGATCTCTACACGCACCTCTTTGAAAAACCAGGCAACCATTGACCCAAAAATGAGGGAGTCATTGGCTTCCCTGTCATGGAAGGGAAGGCTGATCCCACATGTATCCCAGAGTTCCCCCTTCCATCGGTCCAGATTCCAGGCAGCAGCCCCGATGTCAAAGAGCACCACATAGGGACTGCCCTCAATGAGCCAGCGACCAAAGTGCACCTGCAGAGGAGCCCCACATTAAAATCGAGGGAGGCAGACCTGTAACATATAGCTGTGCCGCTGTGAATAACACACATATGCAGAGTGGGAAAATGCACAAACATTTTTAAAAAGCAGATGCTGCTGGGCCAGAGTCACACTTATAAATACAACAAATAGATTACAGTAAATCCCAAACAATGTCAGATGCCAGTCTTCCACCGTGCTCACTGGCTGTGATGTGCACAAACCTATGGAAGCACTTCACTGCCCTCTGCTGGGAGAAATGTAATACTACACATATTGAATTGCTTTCTCTGGCATCATAATGTCGATTAATTTCACTTTTCTCGCGGTATTCACTGCTCTGATTTAACATAAAGCTTACTAGGAGCATTTTCTATTTATTCAGATGGAACGCCATGTCCATTTAGCATATTGTTCGGTATTAAAATGGGCATCACCGCTCTGTTTGAATATGTCTGTTGCGGATGTGTGAGCAAGCTTGAGTGTTCAGATGGAACGGAAGTGTTTCATTTCCTGGTGCAATGACAGCCTTGGGATGCATCGCCTGTAGGGGGCCCTGGAGTAGAGGGCACAAAATAGCGGGGGCAGAGGAGGGGTATCGCGACAGGGGGAGCTGACGTGGGGTGGGGGGGCTCGGTAAAAATTGCTGACCCAAGGAGTGGGGGTTCTTTTTTTGTTGTGGGGCTCACTGCCATGATGCCCTCCCCACCTCCTCCACTACTGGACAGGATGCCAGTCCATCACAGGACATAGACAAGCACAATCATACACTACAGGCAATTCAGAGAGACTGATATTCGTAACTGCTTCACATTAACCTGAACTACTACTATACTGTACTACAGTCTTATGAAGTTATCAAAATGTTTACATGAAGAACTGACTGCACATTTGAGTACTGCCATTTAAGAATGGATCAAATTGCCAAAAAATGGCTGAGAATGGAGGATTTTGTTTCCCAGAGACACAAAAATGTTATTTCCTTCGTTACATTTGGGTACAATATCCACTCCCCTCACTGGATAACGTTTTTAGCTCTCACTGCATCAGAAGAACCACCAGCATTGTTAGACTGTTCACTTCCTGGTCACTGCCTGTTCGTTCTGTCATCCTCTTGTAGGCGCTACAGGTCAATTAACAAGAGGTGAGTTTTGAGGGGGGGGAGGGTAATATTCTGAACAGGGTGTGGTGTGTGAATTTGGTGAAAAGTGTTGCTGTGAAATTATGTGGGGAATTGTGTAATTTATGGTGGAAAGGGGAATGGTGTAATGATTATATGTAGGGCATTTGTGCAATAATCTGTGGATGGCAATGTGCAATATTTTAGTGTAGGGCATTTGTGTAATAGTCTATGCAATGTACTTAGTGTAGGTGTTGGACTAGCTACTCCATCACAAGCTAAGCAGGTTTCAGCCTGGTCAGTACTTGGATGGGAGACCAGCTGGGTTGCTGCTGGAAGATGTGTTAGTGTGACCGATAGGAGAGCCCATTCTGTGGTCTGTGTGGATCCCAATGCCCCAGTGCAGTGATGGGGACACTGTGGCTGACAGGGGAGCCCATCCTGTGGTCTGTGTGGATCCCAGTGCCCCAGAGCAGTGATGGGGACACTGTGGCTGACAGGGGAGCCCATCCTGTGGTCTGTGTGGATCCCAGTGCAGTGATGGGGACACTGTGGCTGANAGGGGAGCCCATCCTGTGGTCTGTGTGGATCCCAGTCCAGTGATGGGGACACTGTGTCGTAAAAATGGTGCTGCCCTTCAGATGAGATGTAAAACTGAGATCCAGACTCTCTGAGGTTGTAAAACATCCTTGGGCATATTTCTAAAGACTGGGGTTGGTACCCTGTTACTTTAGTTAAATTGCCCACTGTGGCCCTTTCAAATCTGACCTCCTAATCACCCCCTGTATTTAATTGGTGAATTTTCTCCTGCCCCTTCACCACCTTAGCGACTGTGTGGTGAGCGTACTGGTGCAGAATAGCTGCCATCGCATCATCCAGGTGGGGGCTACACAGTGGTGGGGGCTACACAGTGGTGGTGGCTGAAGAGGCTCCCCATTGATTGGGTGTCTTGGAAAGTGTTATATAAATGTAATATTCATTCATTTAAAAACAGGTTATTTTCCAAGGGCTTACAGGTGAACTGAACTCACATCCATTACTTGAATCTTTCTGTACCAATACAATATATATATATATTTATTATCCTGAAGTGCAATATTTACTGTATGGTTCAGACCTCATACTGAGAGATACCTCATGAGAGATTAATATCTTACATACCCAGATGTGCCTATTATGGTGTTATATTTTATTTAATTTCAAGACTTTTGTCATTCTTGCACTGCTGCTGTGGTTGTTGAGTTTGCAGTGATCAGGAGTAGTACTTTTTAAGTTTCACTGTACGTACGATCACTACGATGACAATACATGCTGTTCTGTTCTACCTTTCTACGGTTTGTATAGTTTTGTTGTTGTGGTTGTTTAAACAATTAATACATTTCGCCACTTGGTGGCGCGCATATACCCATGCAGTTTATAGGGACTCCGAGAACAAATATTGAGGTGCCCAGCAAGTGCGTACCTGACAGCCGTTGTTTGTCAGACAGTCCATGGCCTTCTTTATCGCAGGGTTCGGGGGGTCGCAGCCCTCTACCTGGGTCTTGAAGTTGTGCTCGTAGTATGGGCCCACCATGAAGTAGTTATCTCCCCATTCATCCACCGTGATCTTGGCTTTGGTTTGAATCACTGTGTAAATCCCTCCAACTGCAAGGGGGTGGGGGGGGAGGAGGAGAAGCAACCGCAATAACTTCTCTTTCAGGAAAAACGTGAAAAAGCATTATGCATTCTTTAATGTTTCAATTAATCAAACAAACAAGGAATGCTATAAATAACTACATAGCTACAGGGTAGATTTTAATATAATGATTATTATAATATTGCGTAAACAAACGCATATTCGCATAACGCTTTAATTCACAGTGGTCGAATATTCGCAGTTGTTGATGTTATCATTGGCAAATCACCTCGGTAACCTCCAGACACTTGGTAAAAACGGCATATGTTGCGTCCATATGGTAGGTGAACTTCACTGAAAACCACAATTTCCGCTGAAACCATCCAAAACTCGGTGTTTGACTACAGCTTAATATGTAATCCTTCGGGCTGATCGATGTTCTCCTCTCAGGTGCCCTTAAATGTTTGCTTTGAGGTTAAGGGTCTGTTCTGACCATCAGCACGGCCCTTTACTGAAGCTGTCTTTTATACAGATATCACTGATACAGTTCATAGAGGCCTGTTACACAAATAATTTAACCAGAAATGCAACATGTATCATTAATCACGTCCGCATTAATTATAAAGCATTCAATGCCAGTTTCATCTAACGGTAGCAATAGTTACGACTTAAATTTTTAATAATAATGTGCAGTCAATAGAAAACCTTTCAAATAACAGTAACGATGACTAATTTATATTCACATTAATACCACAGCAAGACAGAGTGAGGTGAGTGTCCTGTTAGGGGCGGCAAAGACAGACTAACATTACACCATTGTGTGTAAGAAGGCTTTTAGACTTTTTTTTTCTTCAGTACTGCTCCCTATTAATGCTCTTTGACAAGCAGGTGATACAACCTTTGCCATTAATATAATCATATAACAAACCGCATGTAACAATATTACCGCATACAGTAACCAATGATGTGACACAGAACAAGCATGTCCTATAGCCTACATATTGATATTGTCAATCAGTAATAGGCTAATATTCCCTCATCGTTATAGGTCAAAATTCAAAAAAGTTTTTTAATGATTCGATCGGTCTTGTTTTATGTTACAGTCGAGCCACTTTCGTGGTTATCATTTTAAAACGGCAGGCTTAACTCTCGTAACATAATTGACAAAACCATAATAAATCACAAAACCAAAACGAATTTTAAAAATGTGCGTAACACTTTCGTGTAGTGCCGATACCTTTATTAGTTACTTCCCAGGCAACTTCAAAGAGCAGCAGATCTTCCACGGGCAGACCTTCATCCTCCCAAAGCGGCAGTCCGCTCAAGGAGGACATGGACAGAGACCGAGAAAGCGGCATGGCGCCTTTTGGAAATGTCTAACTAGTCACAAATGGCAAGGCTTTCGGAAAGAAAATGGTCTGTTTCTGAATTTCCTTCTCCAGTTGACCTCAAAATATGCACATGTTGCAGACCTTGTCGAGGTCAGAACTCACACCGGGGGACTGGGAGTGAATGAGGCGGAGCGCTGTTTGTCGAACCAAGTACCACGCGTATGTTCGCTACCCGCCAGACTGCGAATAAAGTCCACTTTCACCCAGTGTCGAGTGAAAAGTGGGCGGCGGGAGGAGGTGCAGATTGTTGGATAAGCAGTTATGCCGATATGATATATGTCACATTAGGTTCATGCATATTAAAGCATATAAACATATGATCAGTGTTTCCACAGCATATTTAGTGCGTATACCAAATCGTTGGAAGGAATCATGTGTGAGGGGTGATATCCCAGAAATATGTTAATTTACTTGAAAATTAATAATCTGTTATTACGCCACCTGTCGACAGTCTTTCAAGATCTTAAATAATGAAATTCGTGCGAGAACAAATCGAATTTTGTCTCCCTCTTGTGGATGACTCGGCATTTCTTGATTCAAGTGTGTATGAACACAAAAGAAACTTTGAGGATCTCATAAGATGTTCTGAAAGTTTGTACTGGAATATACTTGTTTGTATTTTTTGGCAATAAAAAAAGAAAATTTGAAACTCGTACATGCTGATATAGCACGAAACCTCGGTTTTTAATATTGTAATACGTTAGATTCTGTCGATATTTAGAATGCAATTGGTTGTTGCATTTGGCAAATTGTTAATATTGACGATGAGGCATTACATTTTTGTTTCAGTACAAAAGGACAGTCTTTTTTTCAATAAGTGCGCTGAGAAAATCTAAAAGCTACATTACTAAATCTAAATAGAAGCATATGTCAAAGGATTTGTCAATGTAAATTAGCTATATTTGCCGTAATCTTGTTTTAGGTTAGAAATTAAATTAAATACAAATTTTAATTATACAGCACTCTCATGTATTATTTCAACGAACAATATAATAGGCCTACCTTGAACAAATTAAATAACTAGACACATTCATCAAAAACGATTTAGCTGTTATTATAACAGCACAACACAAAACGCGTAGCATTATGAGGTATATTGTTCCATAATTCGCTAATAACTGGTTTCAGCACAACGGACAGCTCCGTGATTGGCGTGATCAGAAACGCAGAGCCTTCTGATTCGCTGAAATCCGCGGCTTCCCACGTGCGGCATAAGATAACTAACGGAACTGTCTCCCTCTATATATATATATACACACACACAAGTATCAGAAAAATCGGGAACTGCTGCTGACTAACGTCCACCACTGGACGCGATCAGATAAAGTTTTAACTGGTCTTTAATCCTGTACCGTACCGTCCAAAAATGAGAACGTTCGCCCTGATACTTGCCATTGCTGCGTTTTTCCAGCAAGGAACGATGGGAAAGTCATCGAATGAGTTTGTCCCTGTTGAGCCAATGGATAATTCAGGTAAGTTTGTTTTCAGCCTGATTATTACGTTTGATTCGATACTATTTGGTTCTTAAGTCATAAACATGCAGGTAGATTAACCATGCTTTTTGATAACCTGTTGAAACTAATCAAATTATAGAATTCCTTGAACTTTATATTTGTGAATATATATTTTTTTAAACTTTAGATTACTTAGAATCTCTCCAGAAAGATCTCTCTGGGGTAACTTTAAGAGAAGCCCCCGGTTCAGATGCCGCAGATCAGAAGAGTCTCTGTTACGTCGTGAAAGAGAATGAAGCAGAGCGTCAGATCACCTGCGGGCTCCGGCTCCCGCGGAGCAGCTTCAACTTCAACCCCTTCGGGCTCCGCTTCGGCAAACGCGCTCGAGGAGACGCACCGAGAGCCAGCGGCGCGGGAGCCAAGACCAGCAAACTGCTGCCTTATCTGATGTTCATCCGAGACCTGGGGCTCTCTGCCTGACTGGACACGCGTTTTTAAACGAAGGCTTCAGCAAAAAGAAAATGTTACGGTATATTCAGGCCCTTTTGTAATATTAAATGTAGCCTACTGTAGTATGTAGACATTGTCTTTTACTTACGGCTATAATATTCAAGGAAATTAACTGCAAAATCGTTGCTGATTGTGTCTCTTCTATAGGGAACTAAAGAATTTTTAATACTGGCGCTGCATTTTAAATAAACGTGACTCAGTACGTATACCGGGTCTTTACTTTGCAGTTGTATCGTCAGAAATTCAAAACTGGTGTATTAAAACAAAAATCCTAAACTCGCAGCACGCGATACCGAATTGTAAAGCACTATCCGCACCCAAGGGTAACACTGGACTAAGGGATTAAAGGGGGAAACGCGTCAGCAAACTCCATGCAGTGATAAGTACAAATAAAAGTGCCTATAAATATACTGCTGGACCCATTTATGATCACTTGACTGAACGAAAAATTTTGAAAACCTACCACCAAAGCGTCTTGAGTAATCCAAGTGCTCTAGAAATTCCCTTTAGTGAATTTCATAAATAACGCAAAGTATTGATCGATAAGACATTAGAACCAAATACATCCACGTAAACAGTATTGACATTTGCTTTTTACCTCCGTCGTATTTTAGAAAATAATCCGACTCAACTTCTCACCGACGAATTCTTTTGAATGAATTCTGTTCGTGCCACAAGGGGGCACCACATCAATAGTTTTTGCGTCCGGAACACGAAAGTGAAGCTCAACATAAAAATCAGGAGTGCCTCAAAGTTCGCAAAAACATTTTTCCCCTTCCACAAAGAAACACTCAAATATGCAGTTCAGCATTATTTTATTATCAGTGTTATTGCCACAAATACAATTTAAAGTTACAATAGGTTTTTAGGAAGAGCTTTATTGCAGGGCTTTTAAATCTGGTCCGCACTTTTGATTACCCACAACCCCTGATCCAGAGAATGATCCACTTAAACCTTGCAGTAAGGGACTCCCAGCAGGTGAGGATGGGGTCTTAGGAAAGGGTATGAGGTCAAGCCTGAAACTGCCAATACTCTCCAAATGGCAACCACTGATTAAGATGGCTAATTACACTTCAGTTAAGGAACGTGATAGACTGGCTGCATGCGGAGCCCTCACATTGAACACAAACACAAACGCGTGACCAGGAAAACCTCTGAAAAGCTAGTGCTACCTATATTCCTGAACGAGATCTGGAGAAGCATTACACGAACAGGGGGGGCTGGAGCAGAGTGGCACGGCAGCGCGTGCGTACCCCCACGCGGACCTCACAGGTCCTTCAGGTCCTTCTGGATGCCCCAGAGAGTGTCTGCGCTCTTCCGCAGCTGGTCCACCTCCTCGTCCGTCAGGGTCATGTTGACGACGCTGCTGACGCCCCCGCTGTTCAGCACGCAGGGCAGGCTGAGGTACACCTCCCCCTCGATTCCGTACATACCCTGTGGGTCAGAGCAGCCATCAGAGTCAGATGCTCTCAAAGCTAAAAGCATGGGTGGCATTGGGCTGGAGGTTTAACACCAAGAAAGTGTTAAAATCTAGGGGGCTGAAATGGGCTCACCTTGACCATGGTGGACACTGGGTGGATGCGGTTCATGTTCTTGACCAGGCTCTCGGTCAGGTCGGCCACGCTCAAGCCGATGGCCCAGTTGGTGTATCCCTTCAGCTTGATGACCTCATACGCACTGAGACACAAAAAGTAACAGCTGCACAAGTGCTGGACCAGACTCTGCACAACACTCATTTGCATCAAGGTAACAGGACGTTTGTGGAGACAACGAGCATCAAAGCCAGTTTTAGCCATTGATGCTATAGTCACCATATTTACAGCAGCATCACCACACTTACTACAGTTAGGAAACACAAAGCTCACCTGTCCACCACAGCCTTGTGCGTGTCCTTCCAGTTCTCTTTGTCAACGTCCGTACCGATGTCAGGGTTCAGCTTCTGCAGGTTCACCCCAGCCACGTTGGCGCCGCTCCACACAGGCACTGGGGGGGGGAGAAGGGAGGGGGGGCTGTCAGCCATCACGCAGACGCATGTCCACCCATCAAACAGATTTGCTAATAGGTGTCGGCGTCACTCATAGGCGCACACACACCGCTGGAGTCGCCGTGCTCCCCCAGGATCCAGCCGTTGAAGCTGCTGGCATGGATGCCCAGCTTGTCGGCCATCAGATAGCGGAAGCGGGCAGAGTCCAGATTGGTGCCGCTGCCGATGACGCGGTGCTTGGGCAGGCCGCTCAGCTTCCAGGTCACGTAGGTCAGGATGTCCACTGCATTGGGAGGAGACACCCAGGGTCACCAACGTAGCGCGGCGTGCACCCACACGCACAGCATGACGGAGCTCAAGGTGGCCGGGCACCTGGGTTGGACACCACGATGAGGATGCAGTTGGGGCTGTACTTGACGATCTGGGGGATGATGTGCTTGAAGATGTTGACGTTCCGTTGGACCAGGTTCAAACGGCTCTCCCCCTCCTGCTGCCGCACGCCGGCCGTCACCACCACGACACGCGAGTTGGCCGTCACAGAGTAGTCTGTCAGAAAGAGGCACTCAATGCGAGAAGAAAGGGCAGCGGGGCAATTCCAAGCTCTGATCAGCTGAAAGACCCACATCCTGGCCTCTTAGCCCAGGACACTCACCCTTATCAGCGACGATCTTGGGGGTCTTCAGGAAGAGACTTCCATGGAGCAAGTCCATCATCTCGCCCTTCAGCTTGTCCTCGATCACGTCCACCAGGGCCATCTCGTCGCACAGCTCCTGTGGTGCAGAAGACGGTGGCCGTGAGAGGTGGTCAATGCTGGGAGAAGAGCCCTGTAGGTGGCGCTGTGCAAGCAAGGTGACTGCACATCTTACGCCATATGACAGTGGGCAGTCACAGGCCAACTGAGAAGTGTTGATGCATCACATGTACACATTTATGTACATAGTCAGTACAGACAGATGGCATATTGTTGCAGTAATGGGACTACAGGAATATCACAATTAAACGCAGCACAGATGTCAATGTCGTAGCGAAGACGGAACGGGGTCGTACCCGCAGCAGGATGCTGACGGCGCAGGCCATGCCAACCTGGCCCACCCCCACCACCGTCACCTTGTTCCTGGGGGGCTCAGCGGGGCCGCTGGCCAGGGGTGTGATGAGCTTCTGCAGAACTGAGGCCATGATCCAGGCTGTGGAGGGAGTGAGGGAGACAGGTCAGCCA